AACGGCTTGGATTCGCCGGAGGGAGTCCGTCGGCGGCGGATTGCGGCGGCGGCAACCGGCGGAGAGGAAAGGGGGAAACGGCGACGAGGTCTCGAGGGGCCGATTCCCGGCGGTGAGAGCATCTACGCGGCTACGGGAACCCATCGCTTGCGCCGGATTAGGAGGAAACGCATCGAGGGAGGCCGGCGACGAGAGACGCTTCCGAGCTCGGGCGGCGACGGCGGCGAGCACACGGCGAGCGACGACAGCAGTCGGAACGGCGCCAGCTAACTACTGGGGTACTACTCGAGCGGCTACTCAAAGCTAAGGGGAAGAGATGTTGCGAGGAGGGAGAACGGAGGGATGCACTACCGTGCGGGACGGGGTGCAGTGACGAGGGGCCGACGGCGCGGGAGTGTTCTCTCCGGCCTCGGGCCGGGGAAGAGGAAGAAGACGAGCTCCTGGAGTCCCCTTCCGCGTCCACGAACGTGCCGGCTCCTCCGGCACGCGAGGCACGAAAGGCGGCGGCGAACAGAGCACGGGAGGCGGCGACAATGGAGTGGAGGCGGTGGGACAAACGAGAGGAGAAGGGAGGGAGGGTGCCTGGGCTTATAGGGCGGCAATGTCGGTTTGGAAACCGACCTTGGGCGGTCAAGGCGCGAGCTGGCGCTCGGCGCTCGCGGCCAAAACGGCGACAGAGGTGGATGACGCCGGCTGGGAAGAGAAAAGGGAAAAAGGGAGGAGGGAAAGGGGGCTTGCCCCCTTGCCACTTTGGGGAAAAGGAGGAGGGAGAGAGGGCGACGCGGCGGAGGGGGGAAGCTCTGCCTCCGTCCCTTGGAGGCACGCGCGGGGAGAGGCGGGGCCGAGTCGATGACGACGGCGATGACGGCGGGGCGGTTTGGAACGGAGCAGCGACTCGGGCGGCAGACGCGGGGCAGGCGCAGCAGGCGCTGACGGCGGCGGCGACTGGCCGATCGGCCACCACGGCGTGCGCGCGCGCGGGCGGCGCTGCGATTTGGGTGGCATCGGCGGGAAGCGGCGGCGAAGGCGGAGGGCGCTCGGCTCGGCGCGGCTCACGCGCACGCGTGTGCAGCGCACGGGCAGAGTGGGGGAGAGGGAGAGAGAGAGAGAGAGATGGGGAGGGAGGGAGAGATGGGCCGAGAGGAATTCGGCCCATCGAACCCGAGGGAGGCAAGATAGACTTTTGCGGAGGGATTTGAGATATGAGATGGCACGGACACTAGACAACAAGCAAAGAAACGGATTTCGCAATTAGGGTTTTTAAGAGATAGTTTTCCCGCTAGGCGCCACGACGAAACGGGCGCTACAATTAACATCGCATTCAAATGCTAGAATGAATTACATTGTGAAACGGAGAAATTAATAAGTTTCCAATCCATCTCATATACTTTTACTCTATGTGCATTGGCACCTTCACATGCATGGGCCGGGGCGCATTAGATGGGCCACATTTAGGAAGCCCAACAGTTGAGGTTCACAAAATTGTGAGTACAAGCAAAACGAGAAATTAAACAAAATTAACACGGTCGAATGGTCGATTGGCTCCCCAAGTTGTACTTACCGTAACTGATCATTGAGTGCAATAATAAATAAATTCATCGATAACACACGAGTTTTGTACGTTATACACACTGTTGAAAGAAATTACAATCACAAATGGTCGCAGCTAATTACTTATCTATATATCCTTAATAACTATATGTGCAGTTAGTATACCCCATTCTCAAATATAAGAGATTTTGGTTGAATGAGATTAGTATAAAATGTATTACATCAATCAAAATCTAATATATTTTAGGACGGAGAGTGATATTTTTTACTTATTTAGCTGCGAATTCATCTTCCTTCTCGTCTGGTCGATGAAGATCTGAGCCCAGATGTCCACGCCGTTGCCGCCGATCTCCTCCACCCTGTCCACCGCCACCGCCACCGCCGCGTCGTCGCCGCCGCCGCCGACGCCATCGACGTCTTCCCGCTGCCGGCCAATCTTCGCCACCTTGTCGACGCAGACAGCAGCAGCTTGGCCGTCGCCGGCGACGACGCCCACGCTGCCGGCGGCCCGCCGCGACGCCATGCTTGCCGGTAAAACCGATCGATGAAAATTCAAGTCGAGAGAAAGACAGAGAGACTTGACTAGCAGAGATGGGACATGGTACTACTTATTAGTTATTATATATATAGCTAGGCTAGCGATCGAGGCTGCCAAAATATTACAATAAGTCAAACTTTCAACTTTTCCATCACATCAAAACTTTCCTACACACGGAGTAAACTTCCAACTTTTCCATCATATCGTTCCAATTTTAACCAAATTTCTAATTTTGATATGAACTAAACACACCCTAAGTAGTCTAATTTTTCTTTATGTGTTTGTTTGCGAGGAAGCTTTAAGGAGATGGTTAGTCTCCTGATGATTCTTACATGCTATTCTCATTGCTTTAGATTGTTGGTTATTCTGATTTGGAAGATAAGGTCTAGCTAGCTATAGTACTTTCTGCTGTCCCGTAATAAGTTCTTTTTTAACTCATTTCATTTATCTCAAAAATAAGTTTGTCTTTAAAGTACTCATCGTATCTGTGTTTGTGAAAGTAGAGAATAATTACATTAAAAATAAATAAAATGAGTAAGAGTTGCATTAGGATTTGATGAAATAAGAGTATTTTAGTTTTTTGTTTTGTATATTGGTAGCGTGTGGGATGGATGAAAAGTGAATTTATTTTGTGACGGGGTTAGTACATAGTATATCGAGTTGCACGAAAGTTGTTGTTGAAGTTCATTATTAATCCGATGCTACTACTCTAGCTAGTACTCCATCCATCAAAAAATATGTTTTTTTCTATGTCCAACGTTTGACCGTCCATCTTATTTAAAAATTTTATTAAAAAATAATCATGCATAAATTATCATTTATATTTTATCATCTAACAACATTAAAAATACTAATCATAAAAAAATAAATAAGACAAAAAAATCAAATGTTGTATCTAAAACTGAGAAATGCACTCTTTTTAGACGAAGGGAGTAGTTTGAGACGGAGGGAGCAGTACTAGCTCGGAATTGATGGAAACGAAATGCATTCCGGCAGCTATTGTGGAATCATTAATATCACTATAATATGTTCGTTATTCGATTCCTTGATGTAGGCATGTAGCCCAGAAACTTGGGCATGCCAGTTGACGATCGAGATAACTCCTCTATCTCTAAAAGACTTCATTTTTAAGTATGTATCCTTGTTTTCTCAAGCTTAGTTAGAGACCATTGTCACCTCCAATCTTCAGGTATAAACGTGGTTGATTAGAACTTGACCACCTCAAAAGTCTGACAAGCATGTAAGCTTAGGAGAAATATCGAATAGATCGTCTTAATAAAGAAAATATTCGTCTTTTCATATCTGAATTAATATATGTCAAACGAAAGGAGTTCTCCATTCGTCCCAAGATATAACAAAGCCTTCAAAATTTATTTCAAAATATAACAATTTTTCTATCTACGTTCTCTTCGCAATTAATCATAAACTTTTACCATTCCGATTTCCCATCTACCTTCTCTTTTTAATCAATTGCAATCTTCTTCTATTTAATTTCACCAACTTTTTTAACTTATGTGTCTATCCTTAAAACTTCTTATCTTTTAGGATGGAGGTGGTAATACTTAACTAGCTAGAGAGGCAGAAATTATGCCCGTTTGAATTTGACAAAGATGAAGATCAAGTAGGGTACGTAAAACGAGAAAACCATTAGCAGTTTTAATTATTTCAAACTTGAAAAATATATTTATTTGATATTTTAAAGCAACTTTTATACTAAAAAAATTTCGCACAAATACACTGTGTAGCAGTTTGAAAAACCGTTAATGAAACTGAGGTAAAATCTACATCTTGATTAGAAAAGAACATGACCTACCGTTTCTTATATTGTTATATATGTTTGTATATACTAGCATATTGCCCGTGCATTGTAATGGAATTTTAATTGATGAAAATGATCATTAACCTGCTATTATCATTATTTTCTGTATACATCATCTCTTAAATTCTACATATTTATAACTAATATATGGTCTCTATAGGCTCACAATATCATTTTTCTTTTCCACAAAAGTAGAGATGATGGTAGTGGTGGTTGACATGCGAGTCCTTTGACCCTATGTCATTTCTTTATTCCAAAAAGGTAGTGGTGATTAGGGTAGTGACTGGTGACTAATTCATCACTCACCATCATCATTATCCCTTTAATAAACTATTTAGAAACTCATGAAACATGTGCATTTATTCATTTTTATTTATCCAAAAGAACGTGCCTTATTGCTGTAAAAAATATTTATGGCCAAATTTCAAATATCTTAAGCATAATACTACATTTTTAAATATATTTACCTTGAATATATGTTACTCTCATCGTCTCAATATAAGTGCACCTACTACCACAAGAATAAGTGCACATAATATCAGAAGATGTAGTAGTAAAACTGTTCAAATCCGGTACAGGTGCGCACTTATATTAGGATTTTATACTAGGATGGTGTCATGAAGGAACCATATCTGCAGATTTATTTCGAAAAAAAATATCTGTAGATTTATTTTGACAAGTAGTAATAATTTTATGATACTAAAACAATCTTATATCCTCCAAAAAGTACTTGTACATAGGATTTGACTTACCGCCGGTAACCGCACGGTTACCATGGTTACTGGGCTTACCACGGGGTACGGTAATATAAATACCGCGATAACCTCCTTAAATTCAAATAAATTTAAAAAATAATTAATTTTTGATAAATTTTACACGATTTTGTATGGATTTTCACGGTTACCGCGGTTACCACACGGTAACCGTGCTTACCGTCGGGGCACAGTAACCCAGCCCCGGCGGTTTAGAAAGCCTGCCCGTACACGGCCTCAGTCTGTCCCCTCCCAAAACTGCAATAAAGCCAAGGCCCAGACTGCAAATCAGCAGCTTTTCCTCTCATCTCGTCATCTCCACGCGCGGCATCTGAAATCCATGGCCCCCGCCGCCGCCGAGCAGGAGCTGCTCCTCCACCTGAAGCTCGCCTTCCTCGCCCGGGAGCCCCCCGCCTGCGTCCTCTCCCTCGCCAGGTACGCGCGCCCCCCACGCGCTCGAATTCGTATGCTGCTCTGCATCGATCGATCGAGTCCCCAATCTCAGGCAAGCCTATGCGGTTGGTTGCCTTCAGAAAAATGTTGCCGATACAGAGATTTGGTTTGGATTTAGTAGTGGAGGAGGCTGTGTTTGCGTCAGTAGTGTGATGAGACTTGGCTAGTGATTGAGCTCCAATGAGCAGAGAGATCTTTAGACCCAGGAAAGTTCAGAGAACTTGTCAGTTTCCACCTTATATGAATGTGTCAGGAAATTTCATACAAAGGTTTTTCTTAAAAAAAATAATAATCTTCCTCTTCTCAGTTGTATGAATGTGATTGTAACTTGACAAGGCAAAGCGCTATTTTGTTTTCTCTTCTTTTTTTTGATAAGTTTATGGTGGTGTTTATTTAAATTTGTGTGTATTTGATTGTGCAGAAAAGCTGGGGGAGGTTCTGTCACGCCACACGTTCAAAATTTTATTTTGGAGAGTTGTACTGGCAATAATGTAAATGTCTTTTGTTATCTCACGCAAAACTATCAACAGAAAAAAAAACGACCATGATGTGTGCGTTGTAGAAAGATGCATAATACAAAAGAGTCACAATTTGGTTTACTTGACATTTTTATAATTTTCTGGTTGTTGCACAATATTTTCCTGTAACTCCTAATCTAAAATGTTGAGTTTTCATTACAGGCAGGGGGAGATCAAAACTGTAGTTATGTTACAACTATTCTTAAAAGGATTATAGCAGAAGCTGAGTTATCGTCAGATATTGTGATTGATGGACTTTATGAGGAATTTGGCCAGTTCATGTCGTCAAAATCAGTACGTCTTTTAAACATCGTAATATAGCCAAGTAGTAGTTAATAACTGTTGAAATGCTGTACTAAAAGTAACTTATTTTATAACATGTGCAGAATAATTCATCCTTAAATAGGACTGAGAAGATCTATAAAGAAATATCTTTTATTTCTCCTACAAGTGAGTTTTTAATTTTGAATTCTTCCAAATTATAATAGTTTGTAACATGCACCTTTTATGTAGATGACAATAAACGAGTAAGCTTGGTTGCTCGATTATCATGTTCTATCAATATGCTCGAAGGTGATACAGGGTATGATGGCATTGAATATATAATCTACTATTATCTATATATTAAGCTACTTGCATAAATTCTTAATTCATGTCAGTGCATACTTTTCTTTTACAGGTGCTCTCTTTGGCCATCAGGTTTATTCCTATCTGAGTTTATTCTTTCATACCCAAAAATTTTCTCTAGGAAGTGTTGCTTTGAGGTAAATACCGATTATTTTTTGTGTTTTAGTTTAGATACATGGAAAATGTTATCTTTATCTAGCATATATATATTTATAGGAATATGTTCAGCTCAACTACTCTATCTTCTGCTGTAAAATATTATTACTGTAACCAGGGACAGATCCAAAGTGAGCCAACCTGATCATCCCCCAGCAAATACTGGTTATATCTTGCTTAGGCATGCGTTTTGCAACACAAATATATAGAAGTCCATTGTACATTTCTCTAATCTACTACTACTTAAAAAGTATAAGATGTTTCCTTCGTCCGTTAATAAATAAAAGCGATAAAAAAGTTCGATTGTAACGAAAAAAGTCCAGCGCGGAAAAAAAAAGGCGTGGCAAAAAAAAAACCTGACCGATTCTTATCTGTACTAAAAAAGCGGACAAAAAAGAAGCTCGGCACGGCAAAATTTTCGTCCGTTTCTTTTTTTTTTCCCCTTTTTCGGTTTTATTTTCTTTTTGCCATTTTTTCACCATTTTTCGCGGTTTTTTCGTCCATTTTCCTTTTATTTTCTTTGCGTTGTTTTTCTCTTCTTTTTTTTTCTTTCACCATTTTTCCGGTTTCAACGAAATCCAACGCGCTATTTTTGGCGGTTTTTTTTTTTCGGCCTGAATCCTAGCGCCGCCGCCATGGCGATTTGCCTCTCCATGCGTTTCCTCATCCAATTGATTGCAAAAACCGATTCCCCACTACTCTCTCATCATTTTCCCCTTAATTTCCCATTAGTTCGTCATTTTTTATTCCGAGTTTTGCGGATTGCTTCGATTTTGATAAAAATTCGAAAAATGAGATCGAGTGGATCAAAATTTCTCAACAATTTTGGAGATCGAGAAAGATTCGGCCGCATTTGACGGAGAGGATCGACTCCGTCATCGTACGGGCACGGTACTATGCGAGCTCGACCAAATTACCGGATTTGGTGGGAGGATCGGCTCCGTCATGGTACGGGCACGAAACTGTTCGACATGGGCCTACAGCTCCACTTGTGGGCTGAGCCAAAGAGAGGTAGGCCAGGCAAAGGACTGTTCAAGCTAGGTCTACAGCTCCACTTGTGGGCTGAGCCGAAGAGAGATAGGTCGAGCAGATAGAGGCAACGGACTGCTCTAGGACTAGAGCTGAAAAGGAAGGAAAGAATGAACGTTCGGTCCAAAAAACAAGAAAGCATTTGGTTCAAAATCAAGGGAGTATAATGTATAGTATAAAAAACGTTTTTACCCGTTGCAACGCACGGGCATTTTTTCTAGTGATTATACAATGTGTAAAATTGAGCTTGAACTCTGTCGCTAGCTCTCTGCAAAGCCCTTCTACTATATGTGTCGCTTTACCTTGATGTTTTTCTTGAGCAAATAGATATGCAGTTACTGTTGCTATGACTTTAGTATGATCATCTGTCTCATCAGCATCATACTTTTTCCTTGCCTGTTATATCAACAGAAAATCTCATGACCGAAACTTTTAAAAGTTATATGTGAGTGTGTCTTACCCTTCTAAATGTTTCCATGATAAACAGCTAGGTTCTGGTGTTGGTTTGGTTGGTGTATGTCTGAACTATGTCAGCGCCTCCAAGGTATGAAAGTTTATAATGCCACTCTCCATTCAAGTAAATGGATATCTGTGAAAAAGTAAGCCTTGTATAGTTTGTCAAGACGACTTAACTGAGAAATGAAAATGCAGACATATAGTCAACTCTTTAAGTTTGACTGACTGTAGCGACTAGTGATGGTTATGCTATGAGCTATATTTACTCCTAACTAAGCTCATAAACTTCTTCAAAGGTTAGAGATTAGTTCAACAGGAAAGACAGGTGACACAGTGTTTATACGATGATGCAGGTTATTCTTACTGATGGTGATGCATCTACACTAGAAAACATGAAAGGCAACATGGAAATGAATAACTTATGCGTTGAGCAGGAAGGTTCTCAACTTCCGGAAGAGAACAAGAATAAGGTATGCTATCTTCTTATATAAAGAATATACTTTCAAGATTATACATTGTGTATATTTTTCAGTATGATTTCATTTGAGAAAAAATAGTTGTGTGCTTTCCAGTAAATGTTGTAGCTTAATTAGTCTCTCTTGTAGTCTTGTACTCTTGTTGCACTTTAACCACCAGACACCACCTTGAATCAGATACCTGTCCTTTTGAGGTTAGATCAAATGCACTACTGGATAAAATATGATTGTACTATATTCTGGCATGCAGGTACAATGCAAATATCTTTCATGGGAAGAAACATCTGAAAGCGATCTATGGGACTGCAGGCCAGACTTAGTGTGAGTACAGTATTTCCTTGGGCAATAATTTTTTGTATTATTGTAGCAGTTTACACTTAGTTTTTCCATTACCATTATCCATCTGACACTGGACATGTGACTGTGGGAGCCATGAAACACTTGTTTGAATCAATTATCAATTTATCGAGCTATTGCGACTTGGAAAATAGAGAGTAAAACCTTTTGAGCATAGTGTCGTTGAGTTCATGCCCATTAAACTGAACTGATCTGGTTGAACAAATACAAATAGCCTTTGCAAGCTGATGACAGGATACACCCCTGCTGACACATGATCCAGATTACATCAGTCCCTTCATATGTTTCTTTTTCGTTTCGATAAACACTAATTTGATATCTTTTGACAGCCTTGGTGCAGATATAATATATGATCCGGTCTGTGTGCCGCACCTTATTAGAGTGCTTTCTATGCTATTGAGAAGGGGGAATAATCGAGGAACTAATAATGTCGCAAACAAAGAAGAAACCAGCAACGAATTCAGTAGCGCTGCGACAGAAGTTCCTGTCGCCTACATAGCCACAGTTATTCGGAATGCCGAGACATTCAACTGTTTTGACAAAGCAGCTGCGGATGCCAAGTTGTCTGTTGTCAACATTACCAACAGTGAAGCTCCTTTGAGTCTTCTTCCTTATATGCTCTCATATGATAGATCAAGTGTACAGCTACTTAAAATTACATTATTATCCTAAGACACTGATTGGAACTCCAGCAGATCATTTTTTTTATAGTAGTTGACTGATCATAAATTCGTTTTTGAAGTAATCAGTTGACTATGATCATAAATTCGAAATGGTATCAATGACAATTATCAACGTCGGATGTACTCATTGCTAGTTCCATGTGATTGGTGAAGAAAGACTATAGCAACCATGTTGCATGGGCACCCTCCTTCCCAAAAAAAATTTTTAAAAAAAAAACTCTATCCAGATTCATAGCTAGAAGCTTTTTTTTTTTAAGAAGAGAGCAGGCTTTAACCATTTCAAATTACGAGCATTCTGCAAATCAGGGTGTTTCTAACATATCAGAAAATTTAGCGCATGAATCTCTTAAAATTACACCAGGACTGACATTTCAATCAAACATCGATAGATCAGGAACAAACGAGGATAAGTAGCTAAAATATGGAACCTGTCTGCTGGATAGATAAATCATTGGGCATTGGATTGTTCATCTACAGATAAGAAAAAAACCCATCTTTCATATACACCAAGCTGCCAGCAAAATTCTGTACAGTTCACAACGGTTTCTCATTTTCTACAAAATTACCGGGGATCATTTGCTCAATTGGCACTTAATCCTACAGAAGCACTAGTGCTGTACTCCTGAACCAAAATGGTGGATTATATATTACAGGTGGGTCGGGGAAAAGGTAAATTAGTATGTAACCACTTACGCAAACTTAAAAGCAGTGATTGCCAATATAGTGATAGCTCTGAAGAGAATGTCGTTCATGCTCTTTTGTATTCTGACTGCAACCTCTTCGTCCTTCAAGTTCATGTCACCTGGGCTTCTAAATATGCTAGTAATTGTGTCTCGCAATCCGTTTACTGCCCAGGAGAGCCAAAAGAGCCCAAGTCCAACACCAGTGTTCACCAGCCGCGTAGCAGCAATAGGACTCTTCATACCGGTAGCCATCTTGCACACAACTGAGAGAAGAACAGCCAAGCCAGTTCCAGCGATGCCAATAGAGCATTTTGTCAGCAGTTCACTGATCTCAGGACCAGCTTTTTTCAGTGAATGAATTGTTGAGCTGCTATTGTCCTTGTCCAGGAGCATAGATAAAAATGCTTCACTAGCATGGAAATAGTTCTTCGGGTACAGGTCACGTTCTTTAATATTTTTACTCTTCTGCTTCTTCCTTGATGAAGATTTTGACTTCCCATTTGCAGTGCTGAGTATTTAAAAAAAATCACATTAATATGTAAAAATAACCTTGGATGCAGTTTTAGAAACAGGTAAAAAGAGCAATATCATCGTAGTTTAGTCCAGTAATTCCCACATGTCTGTTCTATGTGTCTGATCTTTTATTTTGTTCAAACAAAAAAGCCTGCCACTACTTGTGTCTAGTCTATGCTGCAAGTGATTGTGTATCTTTTCGAAGTAACTACAAAGTCTACACTAGCAGTTTGAAGAATAAGAATTGCACTACTTCAACCCAATCCATTGAGTATTTAACCTTTATCATGACTATGGCAGGAAAACAGTATAGAAGTTATGCTAATGGTTGGTGTTCAGAAAATACACAAGTGACTGCAATGTACCTTTTTGAAGCATCAACTGCTGTGCTTGCTAATTTTGAATTGGATGCATGGCTGCTTGCTCGGGATCGCCTTTTCCTGTTTATCAAAAAAGACATTTATAAGACAATTAGACAAAAGCCAAAAAAAAGAGGCATCAATAATGAGGATGGGGTCACTAAGACAAGAAAAAAAACACATGATTCAACATTGATTACAGAGGCAATGCAATGCCCCTTTTAACAGATCATTGTGAAGCACAAGGAAACATGTCGTCTAGAACAGCAATAGTGTTAAGAAATAATTTTAACATCTTTCTTCTGTATTTCTACAGGGAAAGCGTCTTGTGCGTGAAGTGATGCAGCAGTCTTTAGAATTCTGTTGGGAGTATTGATCCAGACATGGAATTATTCATTCCAACCGCGAACAAATATGCTATGCACTATTCATGGCCAGTTGAAACGGTGTCAACATGTCCAGCAGACCAAGGAAGATCTTAATGCGACATCTTTGCTAATACAGCTAAAAGATGACCATAGGTGCCTAACACAGCTTTTATCTAATGGAAAACAGCCTGAGTGGCAAAATTAGAATCATTGGTCTACCTTACAGTGCTCAAGAGAACACGGTTACCACGGAGTTTGCATATCACTCAAGTATTAAACCTCAATGAACAAATGAATAAGATGAATGAGAAGGTCTACAAGGAGCATGATGCTTCACAGTATTACCTTTCAAAATATGGAACTAGATATGCTGTCTTGCAACTGCTTATTTCTCGTTTAGACATATTGAATGCCAAGACAATCGAAAGTAAATATCTCATATCATCTCCATTTCCATTGAAGAGGATTCTCCTGTTTTGATCTATGGTAAGGGCAGAACCATGGGACTGGAAAAACTCCACAAGAGGATCAGGGATGACAAGTTGATTTTCTGGTAGATACTGCTGGGGCTCATCCAATTCAAACTCATAGATAGATAACTTATCGTCAGGGATATATGGTTGACTGGCCATGCTGATTGGAAGAGCTGATAACTTATCATCAGGGATGTATGGTTGAGTACCCAAGTTGATTGGCAGAGTTTGATGCCCCGTAAGTTCAGTCAGTAAAGATACATCAAGTTCTTTCACATCGGACCCTGACCTTAGAAATTTCAGGATTTTCTCCTGCCTTGAGCATTGCTCGGCAATCCCAAGGCTAAGTTGAACTGAGTCAGGGTGAGAGTCTGCTGCACAGATACATCGAGGTTAGAATCAGCATAAAATGCAAAACTGAAAATGAATTCTAATCCACACTTGTAAAACTGAAAATTTGACAGATTAAATCATGAATCGAACGGGACAAACCACTTAGTGAGAGTAGGAAATTTTAATCTTGACCTGAATTATGTGTAACATACCATGAAAAACCATCCTACTAGAAAAGACCATTGCAAAGCTCACTACACAATCTTGTACTATGTGCAAGCACACAGAAGAAAGCAACCGATGTGTAAAGCAATGGCTTCAGGTCTCATTTGTAAACCACAAGCCAAGGCGCGCGCATGAACAAGCAAAGAATTTTGTTTCTACTCCTTTCTGCAAAGCAAATTACTGTCTCTAACTTTAGGGGAAAAAAAGCATGCCTAATCTCACAATTCGGATCCATAGCTGCGACTGGCAAATTCCAAATTCAATTGAACAACAAAATCTCTAGCAAATTAGCCAACGGTGTGCTTGTGCATGCACTTAACGAAGGAAGAAGAGGAATCGAAGAGGCAACACGAACCTTGGACGTCGATGAGCGCGGCCATGTCGGGCACAGCGAAGGCCTGGAAGGCGGCGGGAGCGCCGGCATGCGCGTGGCCGGGCACCATCACCTGCCCCTGGAAGGCGGCGGCGGCGGCGGCGGCGGCGGCCTCGATGTGGACGGCAGCGTCCTGCGGCTGCAGCGGCGGCCTCTTCCCCTGGAGCGGCATCGGCAAGTGCACGCCATGGAGCTCCTACAAAACCAAGAATTCCCCCAATCATCAATCAGCCCCAACCGGGGTAGCAGAGAGCAAGAAAAGCGGCGCACCTTTGATGGCGCGAGGACGACGGGGGAGGCGGAGGAGGCGGCGGCGAGGAGGGAGGAGAGGTCGCCCACCATCCCAGCCCACAGCCCACGCCCGCCCGGTCTTTGTGATCTCACGGGGAGCTGTGGGAGATTAAATCCGCGGATTCGCCGGTGGAACGGGTGGTCGCGGCGGCGGGCGGGGCGGCGTGGAGCCACCGGAGCGTGGGGAAAAAGGGGTGAATTTTTTTGGGGGGCGCCGCGACGGCGAGGGTGAAGGTGAGTTTTTTTTGGTTTTCGTGTGGTTGGGGAGGAAGATTCGCGAAGCGGTGGAGGGCGTCGTGAGGATGGATGTGTGTGGTGGTGGGGTTGGTGGTCGCGGGAAGCCTTTGATATTTTCGGTTGCCAACTTGGCTGCTTGCTTGGCACTGCCACCTCGACCATCTCCCTCAACTTCCCAACCCATCTAGCTCGTTTTCCACGTGCACGTTTTTCAAACTGCTAAACGTTATGTTTTTTATAAAAAGTTTCTATACAAAAGTTACTTAAAAAATCAAATTAATCCATTTTTGAAAAAAAAATAGCTAATACTTAATTGATCATGCAATAATGGGTGCTCCGTTTTACGTGCCCCCTCCTCCCGAACGCAGCACAAGGCCAGTTCGTGTGCCAAAATTTTTTTAAATATACAGATACACATTTAAAGTATTAAACATAGACTAATAACAAAACAAATTACAGATTCCACCTATAAATTGCGAGGCGAATTTATTAAGCCTAATTAATCCGTCATTAGCAAATGTTTATTGTAGCATCACATTGTCAAATCATGGCGTAATTAGGATCAAAAGATCCGTCTCTCAATTTACATGCAAACTATGCAATTAGTTTCTTTCGTCCACATTTTAATGCTCTATACATGTGTTTAAACATTTGGTGTGACGGAATTTTTGGAAGTTTAAAGGAGCTAAACACTGCCCAAAGTAGTAACAACAATAATAATATGTTGTTAAATGTGTAAATATATAGGAGTATATAGTTAGCGATTTAAAAGTCAATGCTTAGAAAAAAACTTCAATGAAAAACTTTGAAATCTTGACCTTAGCTGATTTTAGATTTGGTAAACAATGGGAAGCATTGATGAAAATACGTGTCACGTGATTTTTCCCTGGTTTTTTTCTATTTGATTTTGTAGGAGGAGGATAAGTATTGAAAACATTTGGCTGTGGTTAGTTGTCACTTCCATCCAAGAGAAGCTTTTTTCCTTATCATCTGAGTTACTGGGTATGATAAAATCATCGGTTTTTCTCTTATTCCAGACCATTGCTCGCGTTTGTTGAAGTTAACAATGGTGTCCCGTTGCGAAGATTCGTGAGGTAATTTTGAAAAGAAGCAAGAGGAAATCATTTAGTTTCTTGAGTTACAATACAAGTGGAAGTTCAAGCAATGCAGCGGCTATCAACATGGCAAGCTCACTAAGAATCAACAAAATCATCTTAAAGAGCGATTGCCTAATACTGGAGAAGGACTATGATAAGCAACCATCGTAATTCTATATTTGATGGAGTTATTTTTAAAGATCATTCAAGTTTTATGATTATCCTAGAGATTTTAACATTGAAAATATTGAAGGTTGGTTTCAATGTTTCTAAAGTACTCCTCCAAAGCTAATCTTTAGAAACATTGAAACATTGAAACCAACATTGCATGGTTTACCCAAGGTAATCAGTATCGAGATGCTAGGTAGGATCGTTTTCTGATTTGTAGTATCATAGTATTGAAATCTACCGTAGGATCGGGATGCTATCAGATTTGGAAAGTACATTATTTTTATATGTCTACTATTATAAAAACTGAAGATGTTTTTGCCGGTACTTTGGTACGTCATCCATGTTTGAGTCGGTTTTTAAATTCACTCGCTTTTGGAAATCCATATCCGTGTTTGAGTTAGATTTTAAGGACGTTCGCTTTTGGAATATAGAAAGAGAGTCGTATAAGAAATCTCTTTAAAAAAACTCGCATGCTAACTTGAGACGATCATACTCCTAATTGCCGCTCATGATTTTGTAAAAATAAACAAATCCAAGCAAATTCTCACGGTGAATTTTAACTTAACTAAACCGTATAATAATAATTAAAAGAACATTCACCCTTTGTAACACACGGGCATTTTTTTCTAGTAAAATGTATAAATTAAAGCATGTAATATTGATTTTGAAAAAAAAATTGGTTTTTATGTAAACTTGAGCATATTTATTCACATTATTTTCAATCCACCTTATTTTAAATAATATTTGGTAGAATCGTAGTACCAAGATACTACTTCAGATTTTATAGGATCATGTGAAAAATGAATAGTAAGATCGAGATATTATGAAAATTAGGATATCATAGGTGGGATCAGTATCATTTTGGCTTCATAGTATTGTAAGATACTAAAATATGGATCAGGATAATGACAACCTGGGTTTACCTTGTCTAACTTTCTAGCCATCCAAAGTTTCCAAAGTTTCAAACTCTCTATCCTGACAACATAATCACATACTCTCTTAGCGCTACTATTGTTCTAGTTTAAACTTTAAATGTTTTATAAAGAAATTATAAAAACTTAAAAAAGATGTTATATTATTGAAGTACACCCTCCGTTCCAAAGCGTTCCAAAGAGAGTATATATGTGCTAGGATTTGTTTTTTTTTTCAGTTAAATGGAGTATGTTGCGTGGTAAATATAACCATACAAATTGCACTCACCATATAATATGATCATTAAAGTGAGATATTTTAGACTTACAGTTAATATGGGCAGTTATTCGAGTACGGAGGTAACTAGTACATAGGTTAATGGAATCTCTATGTTTTAGTAAAAAAAAAAAAATCTTGCATCCTCATCTTTCCGCTTATACTTATACTTATAAGCCAAGATTTAAATTTTCAATTTTAAATTTGGAGTTGATTTTAGTTTTTTTTCATCGTAATTTATTTTTAGCCAATGCCTTTAGATCAATAACAACACATATATAAAAAAATTATTTATAAACTATTTTTTATTTGTAAATATGTCGTTTGGATGGAGCCATTGATGGGTTCTTGGTATTCATGCTCTGGTCATGTTTGGAGCTCAGCCAGCCGGTCAGCTACATCAGGCTTTGAGGAAGTCCAGTATCAAATACGCTTTCGCTGCAGAGAGGCGTACTCTGCAAATGGACCAAGGCCCAAACACGTCCATCTCCTTGGCTCGGCCCACCACCCCCCCACCACCACGCCGTCGCGCTCCGCTTCCTCCCCTCCCGCCGGCGACCTCGCCGCCGACGCCGCCGCCACCGCCGCGTCGACCTGACCGACCGACACAAACGGCGTAGCCGCCCCTTGCTGGCCGGCGAGGCCACCATCCGGGAGAGTGCCAGTTACTGGTTTAGCGAAAGCAGATGTCCTCCTGGGAAGACGACGACTCGGCCGCGGCCGCCGCGGCGGCGGCGGCGGCGAGCACTGACGTGGAGCTTCTCAAGCGAGCGTGGCGCAACGAGAAGGCGTCTCCGGAGATCCTTCGCTTCGACTCTCCCCTCGTCTCCCGCGTCCGCGAGCAGATCCAGCTCCTCGTCGGTTTCCCTCTCCTCCCCTTCCCTTCGATTCTTGATTCGTGCCCAATTCGTCGTGTTCTAGCTCAAATTGTTCCGGAATTCTTATCGACTGTCATGTGATGTGATTTTGGTCAGGAGGAGACGCTGGATGACTTCGGCGAGAGCGGCGTCGACGACCTGGTGGTGTCGCTCTACCAGATGGATCTCGATCGCACGCTCTTCCTCCTCCGATCCTACCTCCGCCTCCGCCTACAAAAGGTTAAATTCAATTTTCCATTCTCTGTAACTCCACCCGCATTGGATCGATCACTGAACTGAACTGGTGGCATTGGCATTGCCTGTTACTTTGACGGATGGATGTAGATTGAGAAGTACATGATGCACATCTCCAAGTCTGAAGATCTCTTGAGCCGGCTGTCGCAGCAGGAGCAGCGATTTGCGAAGAGGTATTTTTCAGGCGACTAGACCGTCTACTCGTTGTGATTACGCTGGTTAGTTGATTGACTGGATTCAGGTGGTTTTGATGATCATTTGTTGGGTTTGATTTGTTGCAAGTTGTACGGAGATGATGGAGAAGCATCTCGAGCAGTCAGTGCTGTCGAAGCTTCCATACGGGTATGACTCCGTCACGAGGCAATCATTGTCGAGCACGGAGGATGACATGGGTATTCCTTTTGATCCTATAATTAGTGCGTTTATTTGGGATGCAATACTATTTTGGTGGTTGTAGTTTTGAGCGATACATAATCTGCTTAATGCAAATGATGAGTACAAAATTCACCATTTCAAAGCAGAAAACACGACATTTCTCATGCTATCTGATCAATCTCTGCCAAATAGATGTTGGTTGGAGTTTTGGTCACTATTTGGCAGAGATTTGATCAGATAGCATGATCAAATTTGGAGTATGATCAAATTTTAAGTATCAAATTTGGTGCACCCAAAATTTGAGTTCATATCATACTCATAAATAACATTATTTAACCACAGGATGCAATAAAGACCTCTTTGTATACTCATTCATCTTGTAGTCTCGGATATGCTCAATTTAAACAGTTCTAGAACTGAATCAGCTTCGCATATATCAATCCTTTTATTATAATTTTTAGGGAGTACTAATGACTGCTAATTTTTACTAACAAAGTGGTATATTCTTTGATACAGTTAACTGACGAGAAAATGGTGTCTTACTGGTTTGCCCTGAAAATATTTAAGTCCTCCTAGAGTTAGTACTATTTATCCGCATGCATAGATGAATAGAAAGTAAAATGCTGTTATAGTTAGTTCTTTGAAACGGAAATGCATGACACAACAGTATGCAGGAATGTCAACCATACACAGTTTCAGGGAGTACAGAGTGAGAAATGTCAACCGTACACAGCGCGATAATGTTCCTTGTCTAACATAATCACCAGTTTTTACTGATCATCAGTTGTGCCAAAGATCCATGCAGATATATTTTACCTTGTATAGTGGTTGCAATCTTCAATCCACCAAAGAGCCGTGTTGCATACAGTTAGGAATTAATCAGTGTGTAGTAACTAACAATCCGGTGCATAACTTTTTTTAATGAAATAGTGTGATCAGGATGGTCCAACTGGTTAATATATGGTATGTATCTTGGAGCTGAAATACATTCCATGTGCTTTTTACTAGAACAGGAACCTGAGCTGCACTTTTAGTTAAAAGAGTAAAGAAAGTTCCAGCAAAAGGTTCTTTTCTATTTTAAGAAGATTTGGGAATTATTTATAGACTGTTTATTTACATGCCTTTTATTGCTCAAAATTCCTTCCTATTTCTGAAGATACGCTGATGTGGGACATATGTATTTTTGAGTGATGTAATACTGTAATTGACCTCTAGAAACTATATGATTCGATTTTTTTTTTTTTGCCTTGTTCAGTTCCAGAGCCTCAGCTTGACACCTTTGTCTTCTGCAAAACCAAGAGTGACGTAGGAGCATTCCAGCTAGATGATATGTAAGTGCCGAAGTTCTCTTGTTTTTTGCTGTTGCGCCTTTTCAAGCTCTACTTAACACTGTGGTGCTCTAATTTCACGTAGAGGGGAGGAGGTTGTGGACTTAGTTGCTGATGATTTGTATGTCCTCCGGTACAAGTCCATCAAGGGCCTTGTTGAGAGTGGGCAAATCGACCTTATTTGATGCGAATCACAAGGTAAATGCTAGCAAGTGACCACTGAAGATGCAAACTCTGTGACAGACGTATCAGAAACAAGTCTTCTTTGGTTTTGTCGTGATCTCTAAGTGGGTCAACTATGGAGGTGAGGGTGACCCGATGTGCTGATTCCTGTGAAAGAGGAAATTATGTGGCATCCTATTATATGTAGTCAACAGTAATCAGTTAGGAGAATGAACCATCGGTACATGTTCTAAAATTGTTAATTTTCTAGATTGTCATCATTTTAGTTGTCTTGTTAACCCAGGGTCCTTCAAGAACCAAGATTATTAACGTCCTCGGCAAGAGAAATCTAGTTCACTGGTGATCGTTATAAATTGGACGACTCTTTTGCCTTAGTTGGCAGCACATGGCTGGCAATGGCATCTGTAGCCATTTTTATAATTAGTGAGCAATCAGGATCATATGCAATCCCACTCAACTTTGTCCAAGTCTCTTAAAAGTGGAGTGTTTGCTTTGATGAAAGAGTATCTTCAAAGTACCATTTCTACAAAAAAAAGTGATATTATTTGCTCCACATGTTTCTTAGTGCTGAAGTGGGCAAAATTAGTTGATGATGTTTCATGGATCACTGCTTTGGAAAATATTGCCTTGTGAACCTGAGATGGCTGACACTGTCCACTGCTAATTGTTGCATCTGATTACCAGTTTTGTCATGTTAACCTCAGACATCAGATTTGCACAGAATTTGGTGACCTGTTTATAATTGTACACAACAGTTTGTCTTTTGGACATCCAACTGAATCAAGCAATCAACTGAAACCAAGAGGAAAAAGGGTGGTTACTCAACCTTTTGCTGTTTCTTACCTGGCAAAACACTCTTTACTTGGAACTTGGAAGGTTGATATTTCCTTGTCTTGTTTCTAAAGTTGATAATGGAGTATGCAACTGTGCATGGGCCAACAAACATTAATTTGGTCTGATACTCTCATCCGTTCTTAAAAGGATGTTTGTTTAGAACGTGTACGGTCAAATCTGGAAATCTCATCTCATCAATATACGTGAGATACTATCTCTCTCTTTTTAATATAGGGTACTGTTAACTTTTGATATATAATGTTTAATCATACATCTTATTTAAAATTTAGTGTAAAATATAGAAAATATAAGTCACGTTTAATTTTTTTTTGAACGAAACGTTTAAAATTCTCTAATAATGAAACAAGTTATAGCAAAATAAATGACACCCATAATATTGTTAAAAAACAAAACTGACGGATTATATGACGTTATTAGTAGCCTGTTCATTTTGATGCCAAAAAAACCATATCAAACTTTGCCAATGACAAAATTTTAGCATAGTTGCCAAAATTTTAGTAAGGATTTCTTATATAGTTACAAAAATTTGGTAGCAAACTAAATGTACCCACTTTTTTTTTGCAACTTTATAAAAATTTGGTAAGATTGAAAATGGCATCAAAGTGAACAGGTCCTAGGTTTTCCACGAACAATATTATCGTGTAATTATTCTTTAATGGTCTTTACATGGATACATGTTTAGAAAAAAAAAACAATGATCAAGCATGGAATTACTACTTGCCTGATCACATAAACAAAAAGAGGGCATTGCTTAATACTCGTTAAAATAGATAAAGATATTTCCTTGCATAACTAGTCCAGCACTCCAGCTTAGCTGTCTCTATGTAAATACTAGTAAATTCACTTGAATTCTTGCCAGGAACTATAGGGGCTACACAAATGTTCATTCAATTTGCGGTCCGTTGCCTACATTCTCAGTACACAGGAACGGGAAATAATTGAAGAGCAGATGCTTTCTATAGCTATATGCTGCACAAACGCTGTCACACCTCAGCAATGATAGAAATTTATATCTTTTCAGGAAAGGTTGAAATTCATATTGCTTCATCTCTTCCATTTTTCCTTAAACAGGAAGCCTGGACATGGTCCTTTCTCATTATTCCTACGCGTATTTTCTCTAGTAGATAAAGACATCCCGTTTTGGACTTTTTGTTATGAATAAATTATTTTTTGCCTCGGCGTAAAAATATATTAAGCCAAATTGCTCTCTCTGTCACATATTATAAGTAATTATAAGTTTTCTAAGGGTCTGTTCACTTTGATACCATTTTCAACCATACCATTTTTTGGCAAAGTTGCCAAAATTGCAAAAAAAAATACATTTAGTTTGTTGCCAAATTTGATCAATACATAAGAAATCTTACCAAAATTTTAGCAATATTGCCAAAACTTGGTAATGTTTATTTTGGCTACAATATGAACATGCCCTAAGTCACAACATTTATAGAAAAACAACACCAAATTAGTTTCTCATAAAATTAAATTTAAGTTCTACACTTAAATTAGTTTGCTTAAGAAACCGGAAAAATATGTCAAGCAAACCGCATATATAAGGATAGATATAAAAATAAACGGCTATGATTTGTCTACGTTACAAACATAAACCTTTTCTTCTCGTAGTAAAACTCATAGTTAAATCTTAGCGTAAAAATTTTACTTTTAATGATATAGACAAAGACGTTCATTTTTATTCAACGGTTGTTTTTAGATTTTTCAATATATATATATATAATAATTATATCACATATTTCTTGTTTTAGAAAAACAAAGTAGAGTACCAATTCTTTTTATATTTTTTAATATAATAGAAAAAAGAAGAGTAAATAATCAAAAGAAACACAAGATGTGGACAGAACGTCAGAAACCAGATGGCTCCATGTGCTCCAATCCCTTATTCTAGTGGGAGCTCTCTCACCTCCAGACCAAACAACACCAAGAGAAAAATTTTTTTTCCAAGAAACGAAAGCGAAATCAACCTGCAATTACCAGCATAAATCAATCAATCGGAAAAGCAGAGGCCACAACGATCTCTCTCTCCAGTCTCGACTCCCCAGCTACCACCTCCTCTCCTCTCCTCTCTCCTCCATGAGCTTTGCCTAGATCACAGCTGGATTTCTTGGCCGCATCCTCCTCTTCTTCCAGGTCTCTTCCAGCTAGCTAGCTTGTTCTTCCCTTCCCTTTCTTTTTGCCTTGTGCGCGTGAGGATCAGTGAGCTGTGCGGCTCTCTTTTCTTGTTCTTGCTGGACTGCTGCTGCCTTAAAAGATCCTGCCTTTCTTGCTCACTTTCCCCGGAGGAGAGAGAGAGGAGATCCACATCTCTGATGGTTCTTGGGATCTCCTAGGAGTTGTTTCTACCTGTGCTGCTGCTGCTGATTTCTTCTTCGATTTGCTAGCGGCTGTGTGGTCGGAGCTCGTCTTCTTGGTTCGAGATCTCGGTGAGTTGAAGCTGTGTGTTTTATTTTTGGCTGATCCATCTTGTTCTTGCTGTGGCTGTTTATTTTTAGTTGGATCCATTCAATTTGGAGTTGATGTGCTTTTTTTTTTTGGGTTTTCAAATTAAGGGGGTCAGAAAAATCGGTATTGTTGTTTTACAGATTCGTGAGCGCGAGTGCTTTTTCCAACAAATTTTTTTTAGTGTTTTTGAGTTTATTGGTTTGAGTATTTTTGAGTATATTGGCAGTTCTCTTGTCTCTTCGAGGAATGAAGTTTGCTGCGAATGGGATAATGTTCATTGACTATGTGCTGTGAACTTTCCTTGGCGACTGTTAATTGACCTCAAGTTATTGTCTTGTATGTTCATATTTTTATCTGATTTATGCAGTACATAAATTTGCATCTTGTTATCCTGGACTTGGAGATATGCGTACGTATGGCCCCCATCCATACACATCGTTGAATCATGCGGTTCTGACCCCTAAGCAGTTTTTGAAATAAAAAAGAATATCACTTGATGTTATTTATCCCCATAAAAAAAGTAACGCTTGCTGTTTTGCATCATACATGATTGACATGGTATGTTGTTTCCGATGAAACCGCTTTCATACAGTATGATTTAGCTAATGCCTTTAGGATGGTTGACCTAATTGAACAAAGGATTTTTTTTCTCATACTAAAAAAATTCTTTTGTCATACTAAAAGAACTAGTCTGATTCTGATCCATTTTGTCTTTTTATGATTCAGACACCTTCTGAGATGGATTTTTTCACCGAGTACGGTGAGGGAAACAGGTACAAGATAGAAGAGGTTATAGGAAAAGGGAGTTATGGTGTGGTTTGCTCTGCTTTGGACACTCACACCGGTGATAAAGTTGCTATCAAGAAAATCAATGACATCTTTGAGCATGTGTCCGATGCAACACGGATACTTCGCGAGATCAAGTTGCTTAGACTCCTGCGACATCCGGATATCGTGGAAATTAAGCATATTCTACTTCCTCCATCAAGGAGAGAATTCAAGGATATCTACGTTGTTTTTGAACTCATGGAGTCTGATTTGCACCAAGTTATAAAGGCCAACGATGACTTGACTCCTGAACACTACCAGTTTTTCTTGTATCAGTTGCTCCGAGGACTGAAATATATACACACAGGTAATTGATTTATTTTCACATGAAAGATGGTTCTTTTGCATTTCTTTCAGTAGCCTGCTGTGAAGAATGTTCTATTTAAATAAATAAATTTGCTAAGGACAATTGCCACCATGTTATAACTGTTGCCAGATAACAACCAAACTATTTTTCTACTAGCAGATTATTCTGGGATTGTTCCTTCAGCATTTGTGCTTTTTTGGGAACCTACAGTTTATCTGCACAAACTATATAATGAAAACAATCTTATGGAACTGTGGTTGCTTTAGTACAAATAAACCAGCAGTACCCCAAAATTCTCCTGAAATGTGGATCATTCTTGTGGGATGACTAGATGCCCCCTGGCGCCCTTTGATGTAGAGTTTATAAAATCTGAAGTGTTAGCAAGCTTCCATAGCGGGCATCAACAGAATCTTGTTGTCTTCCTTTGCTTCCCAAGTTGTGGATACACTGAATTTGTGCCAGGATGGTACAGCCTGAGGCATTGGGTAGTTTAACCATCCAAAAAATTATTCATGGCATCCTGAAAGTATAATGCATGTAACTGCAACCTCATCTTCTATCTGTACATGCTATTGACCATGGTTCTTACCTTCTGGCAATACAATATAACAAATACTTTTCCTAGGGAAGAGGCTATGCTTGCTGCCCTTTGTGAAAAGTCGAACAACTAGCTAACATCTTCCAATTGAACTGGATTTGTTATCTGATACACATCTGCCATGGTGCAAACCGAGGTTTGGGCTGTAATAAACAAGGAATTTCATATTCTCTGGTTTCTTCATCTTCTTACCCTGGTTGTTTGTTGGCTTTGGTCAGACAACTTAGTTTGTTTTCAAAAGCAGAAGAACAAAGGCAAGCACAAGTGTTTACATATATTTGACACATTCCAGCATTCGTTGTTCCTGATAGACATACCCTTCACATGAAGCACCCTTTTGTGACTAAGTTAGTTCTGTTCTTTAGGTTTTTTTATTAACCTGATTGTGATTGAATAGGATTTCCCTATTCATTTTATACCATGATAGAAACATCTATCTTGCTTTGCTTCTAATGATGCTGTAAATAATGCATGTGCTCATCCCCCATCCCCTCTTTTTTTCTAAATTATTCTAAGAAGTCAGTTTGACCAATTTAGTACTTTTGTTATATGAAAGGCTGAAAAATACAAACGCACCATTCAGGAAAGGAATAATAAGACGAGGACTACTAACAGATTAATCTTTTTTCTGTACTCAGTGTTCTATGTTTGTGTGATTCCTATTTATCAGTCCATCCTATTTGTGACTCTAATTCCTGACTGATGCATCTTTTGATAGCTTTTTGCAGCAAATGTATTTCATCGAGATCTCAAACCAAAAAATATCTTGGCGAATGCTGATTGTAAGCTCAAAATATGTGATTTCGGCCTTGCAAGGGTAGCTTTTAGTGATACTCCAACCGCCATCTTCTGGACGGTACGTCATTTCACGCCCACTACACACTATGCAGCTCATTACTCTTAAGATTTATATCATCAGCTAATTGATTTTTCTGTTTTTAGGATTATATTGCAACAAGGTGGTACCGAGCACCAGAGCTGTGTGGATCTTTTTTCTCCAAGGTTGTAATCACATCTTTAATTTTATATTGGATCATGATATTCTGCAAAAAGAAATACATTGTTGTTCTTTTTACCTTTATTAACCTGGGGCAGCGAAGCAAACGTGGATAACATTTCTTTAGGATTTTTATCCAAACATACTGTAAAGTATTTTTTTTATCTGAAGGGCAGCTTCTACCAGTTAGACAACATGCCTTCTTGCTTAGGAATTATTGACAGATGAATGGAATGTTTTTATTGGTTAGTAATGTTTTCTTATGCATTTGATAGCTAGTGTTTCATTGCCATTTATGCCTCTTTATGTTACTTTTCATGCCTAATTTTGCTACTATGTTCCTGGCAACTTCCATTTTGATTATGCTATTTTTGAATTTTGTGAACCAACTAATTAATGTCACATAAAGTCATATGTAATTGTAGTTCATGCCACTTGTGTCTAGTATTATTGATGCCTGCAAATAATTTGACATATTTTACAACCTGAACTAGTGAACTACACAAAGAGCCTCCCCGCCTTATGTCCTGACCATATAACCGTTTAAAATACCTTTTCCTTCACGAATGGTCCAAATTGGGTTACCTAGTTTTTATACAATGATCATATGATAGGTTGGGTTTCATATGCGTATCATGATTTTTTTTTTTAAAAAAAACTGATTTAACATCTAGACATTGCCAAGCAAATAAAACTGTTTTTGTTTTTATGACTTGTCTTCTTTCATACAAGGAATGCTGTGTACACATGTATTCTCGCTGGGGAATTTTTTTTTCGCCGGGAAGTGTACACATGTATTCTCCTTTTATTTTTTGCATGGGCTTCTATGTTTGTCCAATATCCGAAGCACCGATGAACATAATGTGTTTCATTATTTTGCAGTATACACCAGCAATAGATATATGGAGTATTGGCTGCATATTTGCCGAGCTTTTAACCGGAAAACCTCTTTTCCCTGGGAAGAATGTGGTTCATCAACTTGATATAATTACAGATCTACTAGGAACACCTTCTCCAGAAACAATATCTAGGGTCAGTATGGATTGACTTCAAAAAATTGCTTATTACTTAGTTCCAATAAAATCCTATAATGCTTATATCTACATTCACTTATGCAACAGATTAGAAATGAGAAGGCAAGACGTTACTTGAACAGTATGAGGCGGAAAAAACCTATACCATTTACACAGAAGTTCCCAAATGCAGATCCACTTGCAATGCGGTTGTTAGAGAGAATGTTAGCTTTTGATCCAAAAGATCGGCCAAGTGCTGAGGAGGTATTGTCAGTATTAGCATCAACCTTGCATCTTTTTTTTTTTTTGGTGTGTTATCTCAAGTGTCAGCAGCTAATGTAGCAGCCACATTTTCAGGCGCTTGCTGATCCTTATTTCAAGAACATAGCCAATGTTGATAGAGAGCCTTCTGCTCAACCTATCACAAAGCTAGAGTTTGAGTTCGAGAGGCGGAGAATTACTAAGGAAGATATAAGGGAACTCATATATAGAGAAATTCTGGAGTATCATCCAAAGATGCTGAGGGAGTTCCTTGAGGGAACTGAGTCCACTGGTTTCATGTACCCAAGGTGTGTAGTCATGCCAAGTTTATTTTTATTCCATTGCTTTAAAATCTTCAACTGAGTTGTTCCTATTATAATTTCTGAGACAATTTAGTGATCTTATTGTTGAACTGCCAGGCCAGTTGTATGTTGTTGAACATGCTATATGTCCAGGTTAACAATTAAATAACAAATATTTATGCGAATTGACTGTTTTGTTGATGCACCGTATTAAGTAGTGATTACTTATTTTAATTGCTCTATTTGTTGCTCGAAATCGATTAGGCACGACAAAAACTTGAGATAATTCAAAGAACTAAGATCAATTACTCTATTATGTTTACAGTGCAGTAGACCATTTTAAAAAACAGTTTGCATACCTTGAAGAACATTATGCCAAGGGATCAACAGCAGCTCCACCTGAGAGACAACATAACTCATTACCAAGGTAAGATATTTATTTTATTTTATTTTATATGACATGGATTAACCGATGGAACTTGTAGCTCCAGTTGAATATATACTTGATTCTTGACTATCTACTATTGTATCGACAGGCCTTGTGTTGTCTATTCAGATAACCGGCCACAAAGCACAGCCAGTGTCACTGAGGATCTTTCCAGGTGTTTAATCAGAGACAACAATCTAAAATCACAGGATTCTGCTTCAGTCGGTGCAAGCAGAATCCCTCAAGGTTAGCATCTGTCCTTACCAGTTGACTTTAACCTGCAATTAAACTTGTATCCTCCATTATATCTTTCATACATTGTGTGACTCAAGATAGATTTTGCACGTTACCTATCTTCCAGGTGCTGCTGCAAGACCTGGTAAAGCAGTTGGTTCGGTGCTGCGTTACGGTAACTGTTCGACATCCGCTGCTGAGCAACAATATGAGCAGCGAAGGGTTGTTCGGAACCCAGCAATTGCTCCAAACAGCAGTGTTCCTCTGGGGAGCTCATACCCCAGAAGAAACCAGACCTGCAAGAGTGAAACAGGTGATGTTGAAAGGATCGATTCCAGCCAAACCGGTCCACCGAAGCCATATGTGGCGAACAAACTGCCTGCTACCGTCGATGGTCGGAGTGGCCACTGGTAAATTTCTGCAGCGCACCAGCGAAAACGCTAGTTATTACCACAGCATCAGCATGGGTTTATTGTTCTATGTAGTAAATTCTTAGACATTTAAAACATGTCATTCTGTACAGACTTGTATTGTTTCTTGGGGGCTTTTCCATGATAAAAACAGTAGAATTGTACTGCAAGCCCTAGTGGATTAGGCTGCCTGTTTCTTCATTTCTTCATAGCTCAACCTCTGAATGATCTGGTACACAAACAAGATCTCATGGAATTGGACATCACATGATTCAGTTCGAAGGGGGTATAGTGGAAACTGGAAGCAACAAGTGGACTGTAACATTTTCTTGCTGAGAAAACAAGGGACTCTTTACTGACCTGACTGATGCTGCTATTCAATTTATTTTCCAAGTAAATCCGAAGAAGGATCATGTAAACAGCACAATGTTGGACATTGCTTTAGTATTTCGTTCTCAGGAACATTGTTCCCTTTGCAGAGCTAGGAGCTGCAACTATGTACTACTATCTGACATTGCTGTAACTTGTAAAACTTAATTGCATTTCAAGTATTTTCCCTCCTTTAGCCTGTAATTCAGCTCTAGTATTTGAACTACTATGTTTCAAATTACTTTGGTGTTCAAGCTTTGTTCTAAGTCAAAAATTTATATCTTTGACAATTAATTTCTATAAAGAGTGAAGTGCACGAGCGGTCCTCAAACTTGTGCGGGTGTGTCATCTAGATCCCTAAACTCTCAAAATGTATTTTTGGGTCCTTAAACTTGTTTTGGTGTCATATAGGTCTAAACGGGTGTGTCATTTAGGTCCCTAAACTCTCAAAATGTATTTTTGGGTCCTTAAACTTTTTTTGGGTGTTATATAGGTCCAAACGAGCTCCAACCCCTTCATGCGCTGACGTGGCATGCCACGATAGTGTATACGTGTTAGTTGGACTCACGTGCTAGTCACATAGAATAAAATATAATTAGAAAAACATATTTTCTCCTCTCTACCTTATAATTTTTATCTTTTTTCTGTCTACCTAAGAGGAGAAAATATGGTTTTTAATTTTAATTTTTATATATGTTTGACATGTGGATTCCACTGACACGTAGACGTCACCGTGGCATTGCCACGTCAGCGCATGGAACGGGTTAGAACTCGTTTGGACCTATATGACATACATAGCAAGGGACCTAAAAATGCATTTTAGGAGTTCAGGGACCTAATGACACACCAGGCCCATCTACTATACTCTTCTATAAATTCATACAGTTTAACATCACTAGTTTTATGTTTCTAGGACCATTATATGGTTAAAATAGTACTATCTCTATTCTAAAATATAATCATTTATAGTTATGAATTTAGACAAACAACTGACTAAGTTTATAGTTGAAAATTATTACATTTTGAAACGAGCAGTACAGTACTATGTTTGCAGTGCAATTACCTGCCCTGAACCATTGGCGTTGGCGTTGGCGTTGGCGTTGACCCTAGCTAGCCTCGCACTATCATTCAACCTAGCCAAGCTGGTGCTGATCCTCTATTGCATTCTCTGGTGTTCTGGTGTTCGTTATTTGTACTTGCTTTGTCACATTAAAGACTCGACTGCTCGCTTTTCAATGCATAAAATATAATTTTTTTTCTATTTCAAAGAATAAGGCATAATCACATTTTTACCTAAAGACAAAAAAATAATAATTATTATTACCTTATTGTTTGAATCATCCTAATACAATAAAATTAGAGATCTTGAGAATGAATAGGTTAAAATTTAATAGTAGACGCTAGTTAATTACATGCATGCACGCATGCCTTATATTATGAAACATCTTAAAAAAAAATTATGCCTTATATTTTGAAATGGTTGAAGTACAAGTATAGCATTAGTACGTACTCCATTTGTCCCAAAATGGCTAACCTAATATCGGACGAGATATTTTCTAGTACAATGAATTTAGATATGAGTATGTTCAAATTAGTTGTATTAGGAAAGGCTCCATCTAATACTAGTTTGATTTTTTTTTATGGAGGGAGTAGGTAGGTGCAGCAAGACATACTGAAGGAATAAACCTATTGATTTTGTGGACTAAAGGTATATATAAAAAAATACATAAATTAGCTTATTTAGAGATAAAATTTAAACTCTAAAAATTAGTTTATTTTGGGACGGAAAGATTATGTACCTAGAGATAAAATTGTTTGTTTTACTTTCTATCAAGTGAAACAAAACAATTCATTTCTACATTTAGTTTTTATAATCTACCTGCTTAAACATAGTACTTCTTCCATTTAAATGTCTAAGACTTGTTTTTCATCAAGATAGAGGAAGAATTAACTTATCCACTATGTGACAAAAGAAAGGAATCATATACATGCATGCAACCAATTAATATTAAAATGGTTTATTGGATTCCAATCAATAATTTAATTTAGCATAAGCATACTACAAAGGATGGGAGTTCGATTACTAATGACGGTTGTACTCATCCTATTGGGAGAAGCAAAGTCGTCCATAATTTTAGACAAATCTAAAGACCAAAATCCTCTATAATTATGGACAGAGGGAGTATGTTTATCTACCGAGACCAAGGATAATTTGTCTAAATCACATCAACCAAGACACCATGTACACATTCTCTCACAGTGCATGCATAAATTAAAACACCATACCAATTACTCCCTCCATTCCATAATAATCAGCACATAACGAAAGTGGAGATATTCCGATTTGATCAGCATATTATCGCTGGTAGCATGTGCATGTTGGATGGATTAACTAGTTATCACGGAGATCGAGTAGGCCATGCGATTTTCGAGCTGCATGCAGCATGGAACATTCCTTGCCTGTGCAATCATGCAGCGGCAGTAACGTCGTTTCGTTTCTCCAAGCCGATTAATATGGAGATTAATTACAAGGATTAAATAGAAAACGGGTAGAGGATCTCTCCTTGGTCTTGATGCCACAATGAAATATGCTGATCATTATGGAATGGAGGGAGTATACCTTAGCATGCACACATTCACACATTCTCCCATGCTGTACTAATTGTATTATGATAAAATCCATATCTATGCGGTTATATGATGATCAATTTAAGAAATTTTAAATTTATTATATGATGATTAATTTGGGAATGAGGGAGTAACGTGGCAGCTCAAAAGTCACATCGAAAACTGAAGGCGCCGTTCAAAATTCCGCATTAATTCATTCAAACCGGCCTCTGGTGCTCGATAACCAATAGTACGATTTGGTTTGAATTCAATGCATTTACTGAAAAATTCAATCCATTAATCGCCTCGGAGATACCAAGGGGTGTTCGTGCGCTGTGTACGTGAGTAGTATATAGGAGTAGATAGGTGTGTTGCAAGGTGTTCGTCCGCGTCGTGCAGGAGGGAGATGGAGGGGCTCGCCAAGATCGGTCCATGGGGCGGCGACGGCGGCGACCCGCAGGACATCGCCCTCGGCGCCGGCGCGGCGCCGCACCGCCTGGTGAGCATCGAGGTCAGGAGCGGCGGCGCCATCGACGCGCTGTCCTTCACCTACGCTGCCATCGACGGCGCGAAGCACGCCGCCGGGCCGTGGGGCGGCTCCGGCGGGGAGAAGCACAAGGTGAAGCTCGGCGAGGCGGAGCGCGTCACGGAGGTCTCCGGGACGCTCGGGCCGTGGGGCCCCCACGCGTGCGTCGTCAGGTCGCTGGCGTTCGTCACCAGCGCCGGGAAGACGCACGGGCCGTTCGGCGAGGAGGTCGGCGGCGCGGCGTTCCGCGTGCCGGTGAAGGGCGGCGGCCGCGTCGTCGGCTTCTTCGCGCGGTCTGGGTGGCTGCTCGACGCCGTCGGCGTCTACGTGCACCCGTGACGTGACGACGCAGATGATTTACTTGTTGTTGCATGCGTTCTCTCTTCTGTCAGTCTTCTAGTTTTATCTGAATATTGTTGAGGACTATTTCCTTGGCTCCTGTTGCAGAACTCGTCTGATCAACAGAAATTTCCTCAGAAATTTAAGCTGCCTTTCCCCGCTTCACCACGACGCTAGTACATTTTTTCAGAACGTTCCATCTAGCTCTCTAGTTTTTTTAAGCTGAACCGTTTGGTTGAGCTTTAGGTAGATCTGAGAGTTGAAGTTCTACTAAACATATCCTCACCTGTTAATTATGATTTAAGATAAACTTTTATATTGTTGTTCAATGTCAGTGACCCTATGTCCCTATGGTACGAATTTTTGTTGTTACTTAGGAGGTGAAATTGTTTTTTTTTCCTTGTATGCCAAATTGCCAACTACATAGTTATTATTTTCTTAAAAAAAATAAAATAGATTTATATAAAATATATAACTCCACAGACATAAATTTAAATTCGATTTCTATAATTCGTAACAAAAATGACAAATTTAACTGTAAACCTACTTTAACAAATATGACAAGTGAGGTGCAAATTCTACAAGGAAAAGATATCAATCATGGGTGGTTAATAGCCAGAAGGGTGGACGCAGCGGCAGCGGGTATCCTTTGTGTCTGAAAGGCCGAAGCACTTCTTCAGTCCCTTTCTCCAAGTCGATGACATGAACAAAATTCTCCTCAGCGGCAATATTGTTCACAAAATTGATGCAATTCCCGGACAAACCATGGTCACTAGCCGAGCACGACGCTCCAAAATTAGAAGCTCCGATGAAATCTCCACCGAGAAGAAACACACTGTCACCGATCCCGTCCACCTTGCACCACTCTGATGGCCCCGAGAAATCCATCTTGTACACCGCCACCTCCGCGATCCTGTGCAGGTTGTGGCCGAGGAAGAAGACGACCACAAGAAACAGCTCGCCGCATGACTGTCGAGAAGTTTGGCATACTGGCAGGCAATTCAACCATGTCGACATCCATGGTAGAGAGTTTTACCTCCAGGCTGAACTCGATTACTCCGAGAGCGTCTCCTGAGAATGTGTAGTACACCTTGCCGGCAACAGCATCGATGCCCTGAAGCTTGGCCATGTGAACCTCCAGGGTCTTGTTGTTCTTGCTGACCATGGAGAGCTCGTAGCTGAAAGAATCCCATTCACTGCCTCCGATCTTGCAGACTAGCATCGCTGGGGTGTCAAGATCTAGTACCAACACGGCGCAATCTGACGACGACGAGATTGGGTTGCCGGAGAGGAGGCACTTGCCGCTTCTAGGGAAGTTCTGTTTCGCCGTTGGGAGATCGATCTTCTTGCTGTCCTGAGGTCGCCATAGGAAGGTTTGCAGTGACGCAGGATTCAGAGTGAGTACCCAGCCTTGTGGAGTCTCGAAGCACCTGAAATCTCTCAGTAGCTCGATGGCTGCAGTGCTGAGTGCTTGGTTGCAGATGCTGAATTGCGTCTGCGAGTCATCGCTACGGGTTCCAAGATCATGGACGAGCAATGGCAACGGCAATGGCAGAGCTCCCGATGATGATGCAGCTTCCATCTCTTCTGCTTCTGAACTGCACAAGTCTGAATTTCTTTTCTTTTTTTTTTTTTTTGCGGGGACGCAAGTCTGAATTTCTGAAATCAGCGCTGACCAAACGAGAGCAACCGACCGACGATTCCCTCTAGCTTGGGTGATCCTTATAAAGGGTGAGGGATTCTTCTTGTAGATCGAATCGGAGACTGAAACCTCCCCAGTGCTGAAAATTCAGAATCGAATCGGAGATGAACACCTTGTCAGTGCCGGAATTGGACTCACGATCAAGAAACTGCCGCTGGTTCAGTGACACAATGAGACAGATGCTAGTGAGCAGCTGGTTCAGTGATTGAGCTGCTGCTGCACACCACGGAGGATTGCAGCACATCGACGAGGTGCCGGTGCCTGACGATCTTGGGCGGCTTGTACTGGTTCGCCGGAGCGCCGCCGCGGATCGCGGCCTCGGCGAGCCTGTCGAACGTGCCGGGCCTCACCACGGCGACCTCCAGCGGCGCGACGTCGCCGGTGGCTCTGCTCAGCCTGTACGCTCCGCCGAGGCAGCCCTCGAGCGGCGCGGTGCATCGCCTGAGGAAGGCGGCTGACCTCTCATGGTCGAGCAGCTTGCTTCCATTGCTCACCTCGACGGCGATCGTCGCGCATCGCCGCCGCCGCTGGCCTCCGTCGCCGTCAATGATGAACGCCGCAAATTCGATAACCTCGCCGCCGTCCTTTAGCATGAGCTGGAAGGTGTCCATGGCGGCCATGACGTCCCTCTCGGTGAGCACCTCGCCGTGTTCTTGCGGCGGCGGCGCGCGGGTCACGAACTGAAGCCGAGGGGAGGAGTGGTGGAAGCCGGCGATCTTCACGACGTCGCCGACTTTGTACCGGTACAGCCCACGGAACGTGGTGGCCACCAACTCGTACGTCTTGCCGGCCTCCACGCCGGCGATGTCCACCGGCTCTGCCGCGGCGGCGCCGCGGCCGGCGGCGTCCATGTCGAACGGGATGAACTCGAAGTATGCCGCCCTGGGGAGGAGCACGTAGGTGGTTTCCTCAGGCGGCGACGTGCGCTCCAGGTTGATGCCGATGGCGCACTCGGAGGCGAGGTAGTCCGTTCCGAGCACCGGCAACGCCTCGCCGGCGAAGTGCTTGATCGCCGGGAAGTACTGCTCCATGGTCCCCGTCGTGACGCAGGAGATGTACCTCGCGTCCGGCCACAGTTGGCGCAGCACGCCGCGCCAGTCATCCCTCTCGCAGATTCGGCGGACGCGGCCGGCGAGCTCGGGGCATGGCCCGGCGAGCACTCCGTCCTGGACGGCGCCTCTCATCGCCGCGTCGGTGACGACGTCGGCGCAGACTGTCCCGCACTCGAGGTCATCGCAGAGTTGACGCCACTTGGACTGGAGGAGGCGGAGGGCGCGCGCCAGGGCGGCGGCGTACGGCGCGCGGATGCAGTCGACGGCGTCCCATCGGCGGAGGCCGCAGAGGAGGTGGCAGTACATCTGCTGCTGGTGGTCGGCGCCGAGGATGACCTCGGCGGGGCTGACGCAGGCGGACATCACCGGCGAGGCTCCCCGGATGCCGCTGCTCCGGATGCCCCACGCCGTCGCCGCCATGGCCTCGTATCCACCCTTCGTCTTCCTGACCTCGCCGGCGTACAAGAACCACAGCGCCTTGCTCACCGCCGGCCGTGGAGGGAACAGCCTGAAAGAATCAGATCAGATCAGAGCCCTGATCAGTGTGAAACATGGTGAAGGCTGAGGAGGTCGGCGTCGAACACCTTCTGACGAGGGCGGAGTTGGCCTGCATCACGGCGGCGGTGGCGGCCCTCGCCCCCGGCGAATCCAAGTAGGGTATCAGCTTCGGCCGCAGCGAGCTCGTCCCAGAGCTGCACGTCGATCGGATCAGCCATGGATTGGTGGAGAAATTCTGATGGAAGTGAAGAGTGGAAAGGAGGAGAGGTGGATCACCTGAGGAAGAAGCAGAGGAGGGGGCGCGGCGAGAGCTCGTCGGGGGCAGCGTCGCCATCCGCGACGCGGCGGATGGACTCGGCGTAGTCGTCGTAGGAGGTGACGGGGACGAGGAGGCGGAATTCGTCGGCCGCCGCGGCGAGGTCGGTGGAGCGGAGGAGGTGGTGGGCGCCGCCGTCGGAGGGGATGTACCGGCGGAGGTAGGCGGCGCCGGCATTCTCGGCGAGGATGGCGCGGAGGGTCTCGAGCTGAAGCCTCCGGGCGTCGCGGGTGGCGTCGTCCAGCCGCCGCAGCGCGAGCTCGTCGGCGGCGGCGGTCGCCATTGGCGGGCGGCTGGGTTGGTCAACCCGGAGGTGGTGCAGCTCGAAATTAGCTGGTTTTGTAAAAACTAGTGGAGTGGTGCATATTAGGTGGCTTGCGAAGTTATAAATTTTTCTCACATAGCTTCCCCAGACAGAATAATATATGAGGGCTGCTACCCCACGGGATTCCGTTACTCTTGTTAGTCACGGGACAACTAAAATCCTGAGAGATTTAATATGCATCGTCAATTTCGTGGGGAGACCCACGCTATCATGTGATTCCACCTTATCCAATCCTCCCTGGTACCTTGGGTAAGGTATCGAGGTGGTATCTAATACACTGGTATTAGCTGGTACCCTGGTATCGACTGATACCTAGTACCTTGGGTATCGAGCTGATACCTAGGTATCAGGCCTTGGTACCTGGGTATTGACTGATACCTGGTACCCTGGATATCGAGCTGATACCTAGGTATCAGGGCTTGGTACCTGGGTATCAGGCCTTGATACCTTGGTATCGACTGATACCTGGTACCCTGGGTATCGAGCTGGTACCTAGGTATCATGCCTTGGTACCTGGGTATCAGCGTGATATCCCAAGAGAGAGGAGGAGGAGGAGGAGGAGTCGCGGGTCGGGGAGGTCGAGCAGCGGGGCGGCGGCGGAGGAAGAGGAAGAGGAAGAGGAGGCGATAGATCTGGTGCCTACCTTGTGCCATTCCGTCGCTCGTCGTCGTGCCTCGCTCCAAACCGCCGAAATCGTGGCTCCATCGACGCCGCCTAGAGCAGCTCCTCGTCGCTCATGTTGTGCAAGCGCTCGCCCCCGGTGGCCGCGTCCACCGCTCCCCGACCGTAGGAGGCGCTAGCACCGCCAAGGAAGAGGAGGGCGGCAACGGCGAGGAAGCCAGCGACAAGAACGACGAAGAGGAGGAGCGGCTTGAGGAGATTGATGGGGAGGCTTCTCGACGACAGCCGTCGCCCGTGGTGGTCGGGAGCCCCGCCGGCTGTCGTCCAGGTCATCCGCGGGGGCTAGTGGTGACGGCACCGCCGCCATCGTCGTCGTTGTTGCCGCCATCACCGTCGTTGCTGTCGCCATCGTCGCCGTCGCCGCCTCCGTGCTCATGGGTGATAGTCACAGAGAGATCGAGTGGAGGGGAAGAGAGAGAGAGAGAGCGAGTGGAGGGGAAGAGACACAGAGAGAGGGGAAGAGGAGATAAGGCAGTACTACTATTCCGTCTCCACGGGATGCCATTAGGTAGTTTTTCTGATAATATATATTGTGTTCTTTTCTTCTAAAGATGAAGATTAAGTTTTTTTACATAAAATGAGATGGTATTAGCGTATGATTGATTGATTTTTTAAGTATTACAAACTTAAAAAATAGATTAATATGATATTTTAGAGCAACTTTCATATAGAAAGTTTTCGCACAAAACACACCATTTAGCAGTTTGAAAAGCGTGCCACGAAAATTTTAATCTTCATCCAACTCTTATTGGAGAAAAGAACAGGACCACTGATGAAAAAAATAGATTAAAGTATACAGACGGTATTTAAAAACTAGTGTGGATGTGTCATGTAATTCTGTAAACTCCAAAAATGTATTTTTTTTTCTTCAAACTTGTCATTGGTGTCATATAGGTTCAAATAGGCTCTAATTCCCTTCATCCGCTGATGTGACATGGTATGATGGCACATGCATTGCAGTGGGACCCACATGTCAGTCACATTGCAAAAAAGAATTAAAAACATATTTTTGCATGGTCATATAGAGATAGAGAAGAAAAGATGGGAAAAATATATAGTGCAAACCACATATGCAGTGAAAACTTATAAACTACCGATGGATCGAAAAATGGACGTCTGAGATTCATTCACATCACCATGAGTAAAAATGCTACTCATGGTGATGTGAATGAATCTCAAACGTCCTTTTTTGATTCAATGGTAGTTCAGCGTCCTCAGCGGGGTGGTAACTGGCGCACGCCGGCCTGTCAGCGGCTGTGGCGGCGCTCAGCGTTCCTCGGAGTTGAAAGCCTCGGCGGGGGAGGTCGATGTTCTTACACACCGGTGCGGTGCCACAGCGCGCCGAGTTTGCGGCTATTGTTTCTTGAAGACGTCGGCGGCGTGTGGCGCCCGCAGGCCACAATGGGGTGGGTTGCTGTTGGCGTTCCTCGGAGTCTATGACCTCAGCAGCTAACCGTACTGATGTCGCGACCGACATTCTTGCACATCGGCGCGGTGCCACGATGCGCCGAGGTTGCTTTTTCTTGAGGACGGCGGCGTCGGCTCTTGGCTGTCCACGCGGCTCGACTCCCAAGGTTGGCGCAGGCGACGGCATGGCGTGGCGTGGCGAGCTGACGTGGCCTGCAGATGGCAACCTCACGGGATGTCGGCGATGTCTCGTCGAAGGGGATGACTTGAGTTTTCTGAGTTAGCGATGGCGAACCATTTCAGATGTAGATCATCTATCCTCACCATGCCTTTGTTATTGACACGTGGGTCTAGATCTATCTGGCTCACATGTCAGTGATAAAGTCACGTGACTTAAAAAGGTAGAGGATTCTGATCCACAATTTCTTGATCTGCGAGAAGAATTAAATAGCCAACCCGAGCCGCTTTTGCCGTACGAATCAAACCGCCCAGTAGCTGAACCGGCCTCATGATTTTTCATCAGGTTTAAAGGCTAAGTATCTGGGTATTTTTAGAGGTAGTGATCACTAGTTCTTGTTTCTGGTTTCTGTAGACAGGTATTTTGAAAGGCCAAAAAAGACAGAATTGCCAAATCATTTGCTATTCAACGAAAACTATCCAATTAGTATGTACTACTTCCCCCGTTTCATAATGTAAGACTTTTTAGCATTGTCCACATGTCTAGATTCATTAACATCTATATGAATATAGGCAATGCTAGAAAGTCTTATATTATGAAACGGAGAGAGTACCATTTTACGATATTGTTTTATAGCTAAATTAGGCTCTACCTTTTGCTTGTTAGCTTATCAGTTGAAATCGGAATTTGAATTTTAAAACTCAATTTTAAACTAGGTTTTAAGGCTTTTATCATTGATAAATTTTCGTCATTGGCTTTCAAGTAGTTAAGAATGATTTTTTTTTTATTTTTCTACCATTTATGAAGGTTTATCAATCATAGAGCAAATCATCGCTCTTGAATCTTTTTGGTGTCAAGCATTGATGTGGAAGATTGAAATTGGAAAACTCTTTTTAATCTTTTGAGAGAGGATTTCAGGTATTTTAAATCCTATTTCTACTTGGACTTATTTTTTTCCCTTTTCTTCAATTAATGTTTGGATCTCTAAACGATGAGAGCGAAAGAGATGTCTCCTTTTTCTGTCACTTTATTTCTACCAATAAAAGAATAAAGCCATAAATACAAACACCCATATTAAGTATATAGCTTGAACAAAAATGAACATGCTTCATCCAGTAACCTAACCAGTTGAACTATTGTTACTTTACCTAGATGCCCCATTGGGAATGATAGGAATTTCATAAGGCCTAAAAGAGTAATTTGAACACGAGCCTCTTATGGCTCCTTTGGAAAGTACGATTTCTATAAAACACAAGAACAAATAAAACGTAGGAATAAAATCTTATACGCTCCAAAATATAGGAATTTAAGAGTTTGTGTGTGGATGGCTTGTAGAAAACAAAACATATGAATTTTAGAAGAAATTGTTTTGTGGGAGAGAGATGCTAGAGAAAGAAAGGAAGAGAATGCATACGACTTCTCGAAGGAAAACGAAAACGTGAGGTATGAGCTCATGCTTAGACTGTTATGGAATTGAGCCATAGGAAGCAAATCTCCATAGGATTTTTGCCAGTGATATTGCTTTGTTCCAAAAGAGCTCATAGGAAAATTGTCTGAGAATTGAAATTCCTTCAATCCAATGGAGTGTGCCCTGCATTTCCACTCTTAAAAACAGAGCTCGTAGTACCATTTCCATTTGTGCTCTATTATCTTCACTACCCCAATCAATAAGCCCTACATTACAGAAGAGCCAAAGCTCGGCGGTCAGAGGAGCTTTTCGTTCGTGTCAAACAAATCCCATAAAAGAAGAGGTAAGCCTATTTGTCTTGAGTCTTGACAGCGTCTCATCGCAGCTGCTTGTCTACATTTTACAGTGGGAGTTCTTCCCCGTCGACTTATCAGTTATCACCCTTGATTCTCATGTGCGTCACGTATATGAAACATAAGCTGCAAAAGTTTACCAGCTGTGAGACAAGGAATCACCTTTATTTTGTAGCGTCAAAAAGAAAGTAATTAGCAAAGGAATCACCTTAACTCCCACATAGAATGAGATAAATATGAAGGCAAGGACAGGAAGGGCTGCAAAATAGACACAGGCGTCAGCTGAAGAGGCCGTATGACTGAATGAAATTCACTATGAAATAATGGATGTGAATTCGCAACTCACCATCCTTCCCAAGCATTCGTGACATGAGAAGTTTAATGCCGGAGGGTCCTACAACATAACCGACAAGGTTTGCCACCTGCATGAGTGGAGCATATCAGTATCAATGCGGAACAAGGATGTGACCCATCTAGTGTAAGACTGAAAATCCTAGATTTAATGATATATGAATTACTCTAAAAGAATCTTTGTTGACAACAAATGCTGTTGCATGCATACTTTTTCCTAGGAGATTTGGTGCCAGGAATCTTTAATTGTAGTAAACCAGTAGCGAAGTAAGAGAATAATCGGTTGAATACATTTAAATATGAATTCAAATACCCCCCCAAAAAAAAGACGTACCATAAGGCAGCTTATTGTCACAGCACCAGCAATTGCACTTAACTCCCGGTGAATGAACAACCCAAGGGCACTTCTTGGCTACATTTTTAAATACATTAGCTACTAATCATATGAAATTTCCATCGACATCAAACAAGCATGATGAAGAATCCATCAATGCATGAGAAAACAAAAACTTATTAGTTTGGAGTATATATGGTTGCCATGCTGTTGTTCTTGTTTGTACCTTAAATTAGAAGTATCTAGTATTCCTTTCCAAACTCAAGCTGTACAGACTGGTTTATTTTTCCAAACAAAGGGAGTAACTTAACATGGTAGTAAAACAACTTTACCATCTCACAAATTTCCATACAAAAAATACTTAAGTTTGTTTCTTGCAACTAAGCAAATGAATGCAACAACAGAAAAAGAAATGCTGCTTTATCCTTTAGGTTATGAAGTCTTATCAAATCACACAAGGGAACTTTACCTGGAACTTGTTGGATAGAGACTTGACCAATATTTCAGGGACGAAAAATAAGCATGTTAACCATGCCCATGAAATAAGTTTCCTGTTTATGAGAATGCAATCAAATTGACATCGTAAGTCATCATAAAACCTAGCTGTTGCCAAACAAAAATAACAATTATAAATTTTACAGAACTTACCATTCCAGGTCATGCCAAACTGCTACAAACGTGAATACCACCCAGATACTAAGTAGTTTTCTTTGAGCACCCCCAAGAGGAATGTACAGATACCTGCAACAAGAAAGACATATGTCAAAGAAAGTTAAACTTAATTTTATCGACTATTAATACTTATGGATTGACTACAGATGCACATTGGTATGCACACATACCAACTCTGTGTAAGCATGGGGTTATGTAATAATGTTGATAGGCCTAAACTCTGTCTAAGCGGACATATGACAGTTTTTTGCATGCGTTTCTTGAGCATATGTTAAAGAAGTGAGGCTATGAACAGGAATAAAGTTTTAACCCCAAAACTTCAAAATGAAATATATGCATGGTAGCACAGATGAATTCATAAATTAGTACTTAAAGCAGCTACTTTAACACAAACCTGACCAACCATCTGTTAAAAGAAGCATGCCAGCTTTTCCAGAAACTCTCCAGATCATGACAATTATTTATACACCTTGGCATATTTTCAGGCGTCTCAACTCCTCCTACCTGCAATGAAACACTCAGCATAAAACACAAAAAACATTACATAAAACAGTGCGGATATGAGAACACAGTTGTTTTATTGACAATGTTCCCTTGTATCAAAAGGTAAAGCATGCAGGGTGCATGATGAATCAATATTGATTTTAAATGTTCAAATTACCAGTGACCAAAACCTGAAGTAGCGCCAAATCAGGAAGAATTTCAACCACATAAAGTTCAGCACCTGCATAAGAAAGTTTTGATAGTCAATGCTTATTGATGATTATTAACCCCAACAACAAGGTATACCAAGTTGAAAAAAGAAGCTACAGTATGTTAGTTAAGAATAGCAACAGGACCGTGGATATGGTAAGCATGCAAGTTAACGCATTAAAGTAGAAAACAACCTAGGCAGACAACTTTGGAAACAAATATACAGTATTGCAAGTCAGGACACGTATTCATACAGGAGATCACGAAAACTTGTATTCAATCTTGAATAAAAACATAATAAGTAATAAAATGGTAATATCAACTGCTACATATTGTTGAAAATGATGCAAGAAAAATTCCATAACTGACAACTCTGAAGGAAAAACCGGAGTATATACTAGAAAATGCAGTATGTACAACATAATCTTACCCCATAACTAATGATGAAGATCTCAAATGGCGATAATTGCTGCCATAATCGGCTGTCAAAAGAATAATTAATCAGAATATAGTAAAAAAAGAATGGATTGATTATACTATATAAAGATAAGCATGTACCTAACTACAAAGGCGTTGTAGTGGAAAAAATGTGTCATAGCTTCCATAAGAAGGAAACTTAGGATCCACCTCACCCCATACCAAGATATTTGTGCAACTGAATAATTTTTCTGGGGTGCATCTAACTGCAAGATCGCTACAACAAGAACAGGTTAGTATTTGTCAAGATATTTCTACACTATATCCAACTAATAAAACTTACTACTTATATAGTTCCTAAAGTCACCCAATGGTCAGTACCATTTAAGATCGTTTATAACAAGCTCAAAGATATTTTTGCAAAACAAAAAAGGAAGAAACAAAGGCATAACTCATTTATAGACAGGGAAAGCAAATTCATAATAGCTAGTGCCCTTTTACTGTTCACTACACATAAATTGCTAATATCTTTTATATTATTACCTTTCAGAGCTGAAATTCGTTGTTAACAACTATGGCAGATAATAGATTAACCTGTTAAGGACCATTCAGAAATTCCTTTTAATGACTTCCAAATATATTAAAGAAGGATGTAAATGTTGTGTCTATTTTTGTAGATTAGACTAAGATGGCAGTGGCAAAGGGCCCTGATCTAATTAGACGTTAAAAATAGATTAGTGCCTGATGTAGGGAAAGGCTGGTCCCTCAACCACATCAACTTAGAGACAAGTTGTTATAATCACTCGCTATCCTAGTTAAAAAATTGTTTGGAAATACACCAGTTCATTTCTAGTCAAGATTTGTTTACAGAACCTCACAGTGCATAAAGGATGTCACTTGTCAATTAATGAGTATAAGAAGGGAAAGAAAGAAATTAGCTCAAAGTTAAGTCTACACCTAAGCCAAGGTCAGAGTTTGGATCAGGATCAAGTCCCCCACGCTAACCCTTCGCATGAAATAAATCCCTAAGTCACGGCAATGCATTGTACATAAAATTGACAGGCGCACAGGTCAAAAATGCATTAATATATGATGTCATTGTCACATGTTCAGCTTTTATGAAAGTATTGTTTTAGCTCTACTATAGCCAAAGAATCATGTCAAATTTGATATCATCTTCATTTCATAAAGCACGACCTGTAAATGAAAAATAGAGAGAAACATTCATGAAAGCAATATTTGTTTCTGTTCAATTTTGACATCTTTTAATTTAAATGGTAGTTCTCTCCCCTTCTTCCTTTCATTTTCTTAAAATTAATATTTATTTCTGCTGCTTTTAGCTTGAAGTTCATCTAACCGATTCAGCTGCATTGAATCATTATCTATAAGAAACAGACCAACCTGGGCTGCAAATGCATTGTAGCTTACAATAGGTCCAGCGATGTAGAGTGGAGCATATGTCAAGTAGCATAAATATGTTAGTAATGTGTATTTGTCACCAATGAGCGCTCTCTCCTGCCAAGAACAATGCAAAATTCTATCAACAAATATAAGAGTGAATATAGTATGCTTTGTAAAGGAAGGTCTTGTAGGATACAAGAGTCACTATCAAAGCTGCAAATTTCAAATGATAATACCATAAACAAAGGTAAATAAGATACACTAATGTCAAGACTCAAGACCTACATTACAAGTAACTCAGAAAATATTTATATTGCAACTAACAACTCAGAACAGTTCAACCTGGTATCAGCAGAAATGTTAACCATTCATTTACGCTTAGTAATTATCAACATCTTTCAACAAAACCACTAGTTTCATTCTGTGCTGTGTCAACACTTATTTTGCTGGAAACTAAAGGGATACCGTCGTAATGCTTCCAAAATGGTAAAACCAACAATGGCTGTAAGACACTACCATGAATCAGTACCACATTAGAGCAGCACTATCAACAACAGTATTTTTATTGGGACAAGGGAAGTATGAAAATATAAGTACCTGCAAAGCAAAGTAGCATGTTTTGCCAGAATAACAAACTTGGCATCGCTGCATATGCTTCTGTACCAAGGCAACTCATTTCAGTACAGTGCAGTACTGACAAGACAGAGGTATGGTCAAAAATAAATTTACTAATTTACAGGTACAGATCTCTACAAGAGTTGTTCATAAACTTATCAGTTTCCCATGAGGTACACAACATATATCAGATATAACTTTATAATTTATCCAATAACATTTAAAACAAGACAAGTAGACATATTGTTTTGAAAATGTACCAAGATGAATAAGAAAACACAAGATCAGATTTGTTAAGAGTGTCAGATCTTATGGACCAACAGGGATGTAATGTGTGCTTTTAAAACTATGTTTCTGTGATTTAAAGCATCTGATGTTCCAATAATGAAGTACAGATAATGTGGTACAAAAAGACAAGTCATCAGGAAATATAATACCTTATGATCAAACTGAGAAGACCGGAGTGACCAGCAGTAATCGCATCCAAAGCTTATCATTCGTAATACAACTGCCAGACAAATCAAATGGGGCATAAGGAGAACACGTTTATAGATTTCTACATAGTAAACATCAAAAGCTATTCGTATAAACATGATTTCAACCAAATCAAGATGACAAAAGGAGAACTATACCAAAATTGAAGCAAATGTGCCACCGAAATGTACCCCGATGATTGTCTAGAAAAGCAAGCTGTTGCCTATTTCGATAAGAAAATCAAACGTCACAAAAATTAAAAAGAAAAGGAACCTCACTGAAAGGAATTGCATCATACAGATAGAGCAGCTTCAGAACAGCTCACCCAAACAATGAGAATGAATAGCCTTCATAGACTCGGTTAAGTATAAGGACAGCTAAGTTGAAGCTCCAAATGAGCCCAACACAATATTTATATCGAGAAAATAGCTGCAAGAGAGAATACTATGGTCAAAAGCAAAACTTAAACCCATAATCAATTAGAACAGAGAAAATCGAACAGTGATGTCAACACTACAGTCGGAATGATTGCTTACAACTAAGGTACCACTTACAGGTTGACAATAATCACATAATAAACAGCATGTTAACTTGAATTCCTTAACTGAGGACACCATTTTCAACCAACCTGACTAGATGTTTAACCACTCAGTCCAACAATATTGTAATAGTTGTGTTGACCAGTTCTAGTTGATGAATGAAACATTTGGAATCAATACATAAACCGAAAATTCATCCCAAATGAATTTTACCAACATAGAGTCTTAGTTTTCCCTTGAATAATGACTTAAAAAATCCATTGATCTGGCATTCCTGTTATCACAGTGTCTCTTCTTTAGTTGATGTGTACTATGTTTCTTATCTTTTATGTGCTTGATATCATATGCACCTGTGGAGTAGTCTTCAGTTTTCTATATCACGTTGAGAAAGTTGCATCCGTTAAACATACACATACATTGTGCACATCCACAAACATATGCTCGATTGACAAATATGCTACCTCTAATACCTATAACAAGAATATGAACAAAAAAGCATTCTGTTTTGCTCCATGTACTTTTGTTTGTGGCATTGCCTATCTATATATTTATGCAAAAAAAAAAGGAAAACAGAAAAACAACGACTAAGACAACTGAAATCAACAGTAGTTTTGATCAAAGATGCTAGCACTGACCTTCACTATGGAGTAGTTAATCAATGCTATTAGGAGAATGAAACTAACACTGCCATAGAGATAGATATGTCAGAAACTTTACAAATATTGGAGAAGAACAAGCGAAAAGCATTGGTCAGTTTCCTACCAAGCACCATGTAGATAGCATAAATAGGTGACAGACAGGAGAAGCCACACCAAAGAGGCCCCTCTTCCCTTCAAGCTGTAGCAGTAGCGAAGCATATTCGCCAACATCAGAAATGCACCCATCACAATGGTAAGAACAGGTAAGTTCCCCCGGAAATTTCTCCATTGTGCATCGGACAAGTCCTGCAACGACAGAATGCAAGGAAATCAGATGCGTAGCTCCTCAATCTTCAGATAAAACTAGAACACTGATAAAGGAATGGGAGGAATTTAACACACGTTCAGATGGCCAGCGAGTGAGCCTGCTCGTAGGCCGTACAACCTCCCAGAGTAATCTGCACAAACCAAGCGATAATGTGATGCGAAGCAGTTCCAAAATTAACAGCAATGGAAGATTTTGGAATCTGAGACGATTGGATACCATGAGAGAGGCGAAGCGACTTCCGGATCACGACGAGGTAGAACCCCAGCGCGTAGGCGCAGAGCGCGGCGAGCTCCAGCCGCCTCCACGACATGCTGAGAATTGAGTTTGGCAAGTGAAGATCTCTCCCAACGGCGGGGAGGCTCACCGCTCGCGTCTCCGCCCCTGATACCAATGATGAGGGAGCGTGATCCGCCCGGCGAGCGGCGGATCCGCCGCCTTCTCCGACCTAAAATAACCGGATGCGGAGAAGGCCAAGCGAAGAGGATGAGGTGTGACGGGGCCGCGGCGAGGATTCCACCGGAGGCGGCGGAGACGACGGCGGCGGCGCGGAGGCGGAGACGGTGGTGCGTGTCGCCGGCGACCGCCGCGAGTGGGGTGTGCTCCGCGACTTATGTGGGCTGAGATAACGGGCCCAACTATTAGTCTATCTTGCGGCCCGGCCCGGCCCGTCAACGAAGGCCCATGGGCTTTCCGTGGCATCAGGTCTCACGCCACGTGGCAAGTTATCACTCGCTCGCGCTTCAGGCACGTGTCCATCACCTTCTCCCCACTTGCTGGGACGCACACGTGGCCTCTCCTACCACCGTATGTCAGTCAACTGGCCCCACCCGTCAGTGGCTCATCAGTAGATATGGATAAATCGCATTTTACATAAACACCCCCACATCAAACGGTATTTGCTAACAACACCTCTTCTCCATCCTCTTCTGTCTTCTCCATTTCCATTTCCTTCCAAGAAGAGGTTGCAGCGGCGCGCACCCAAACCCTCTCGGCATCCAGGGAAAACCAAGGTGCGAAATTTTTTTTTGTGGGTTTTTTTGGCTGCTTCCATTTCGCAATCCACTGATGGAGTACGTTGCTAGCAGTCGTTGCAATTTCTCAGTAATTTTACCGATTTACTATTTATGCAAGCTTACACTGGTGAATTTTTTTCAGGGTAAATTAGGCCTGCGTGATTCAAGAACCGCACCTAAAGTTTGTATTTTTCCAATGGATTCTATGGGGGTTTATGTTGTTTTTTCGTAAAGATGATCTGATCCGTCATCCGTGAATATTTTGTTGTCTGAACGAGTTATCCTATTAGTAAACAAGGAAGTTCCTGTGTTCTTGATAGAGATTTTGACTGATGATTAGGTAGTAGTGAGCTAGTGATATTCATTCCAAAGGAGCAGTAGAAGTAATAGCATCAGCAAGAATGCGAGGGAGACGGCGGAGAGCTCGGGAAGCTGACCCTGTGCCTGAGCCATTCACCATTGACGATGAGGTCTCCCATCTCACCAGGATTAGATCAGAGCCAAGTCAAAAGACTCTTGGTGCTTTTTACGCCGGTCGCAAGAGGGGCATCTCAACGTTCGGGCTGTTGTCCGGGAGGGAGTCTGGCCGTTCGGGTGCTGGTGGATTCTCTAGAGCCGATTGCGCTTACGCTGCCCGGAAACACCTGCCAACAAAAGGACCATGGTGTGTGGATGACATGACTAGTGAGGCGTATGTGTCGCAGTTCTCTAGTGATGGTTCACTGCTTGTTGCTGGGTTTCGGGTAGGTGATTTTGCTGCTGCAGAGAATAATCTACCTTGATATGTTTTCTTGTGGTTCTATTAGTGAAAGTTGTGCATACAGAAGTTTCAGAGCTAATTGGTAATGTTTCTCTCCACAAAATTTTGATGATAAGGGAAGCCGCATCAGAATTTACGATGCCGATAACGGGTGGAAGGTTCATAAGGATATAAGCTGCCGAAGCCTGCAGTGGACGGTTTCAGATATTGCTCTATCACCTGATCAGCAATTACTTGTAAGTCTGTCTATGATGCATCTAATAAACAGGACTCGATCTAAGACCTTAGCCCTGTTGTTTGGATGAAGGAAAATATATAGGAACTGATTTGTAATTGTTACGGGGAATGATAACCATAGTGGTAACATTTATCCAATCTGAAAAACTACTTGCTATCTCCATGTAGATGCTATATAGAAAATAGAAGACATGTTGAAAAACTATTTTTTCTCTTTTGCATGCTGATATTGGTGAAGTTCACTTTTTTTATGATTTGTTATTTAGTTTACCATTTTAAAATTCAATGATATATCAATTGACAAACAATAGCCGTTGTTTTATGAATAAAATTATCTCCGTGGTGAACGGTCTGTTTTGCATCGAACTGGGTGCTGACATTAATCATTTAGCACTCTGGATGTTTCATTTTCATGTGTGTGCTTGTTTTCCCTCAAGTCTATTTGATCCTTTCACAGGCATATTCCAGTTTGTCGCCTACTGTTCACATAGTGAATGTGCAGAGTTCTGCAAAGGAATCACAAGCTAATGTTACTGTATGTTCTATACTCCGAAGCTTTCCCTATATTAGTACTAGCTTTTGAAAGCATGAGCTGCCTAGCTTTGTTGAATTCATAAAATGCTAGTAATGTTCTTGTAACCAGCCATGTTTCAATTGTTCGTTTTCTGCAGGAAATTCATGATGGTTTGGAGTTTTCTAATGATGACGATGATGAATATTCTTTTGGAATATTTTCTGTGAAGTTTTCAAAGGATGGTCAAGAAATTGTTGTTGGCAATAGTGATAGATCTATAAATGTTTATGATCTTAGAGCAAATAAAGTGTCTGTTCGCATCCGTGCTCATGCGGTATAAATTAGCTGATTTGCCATATGCTTTTTGGTTCAATCAGTTGTATGACTGGTTTTTGCCTTGTTCATTCCATTTCATGACCTAGCTATCTCATTTATACCAATCTTCTAGTTTTTTATTTTACGCAATTGTATAACACATTTATTTGCTATCTTATTTTCTTCTCAATTGGTTCTGTAAGGCTGATGTCAATGCAGTCACCTTCGCTGATGAAAGTGGTAATCTATTGTACTCTGGAAGTGATGATAATCTCTGTAAGGTTAGTGTTCTTGTTAATTGTTGGAATAATGCCTTCTTAATCTTGCTTCAATATGAAAACGTACTCTATCAATTGGAAAGAAGAACTATCACAAACTATGTGTATAATGAGCATAACAAGAGTTGAATAGGTGATGGTGAAGGGTAGGGTTTACGGTTTGGAAATGGAATAATACAGCTCCTAGCATCTAGATGCTAGAATGCATTTGTGAAGGAACAGTAGTAAATCCAATAAATAGACTCTTAAAACATCCAATCTTGTAGTCAGTGCTTGTCCTAACAATATTTTATGATCCTTAGGTGTGGGATAGGCGGTGCCTTGCTAGAGAAAAACCAGCAGGTGTTTTGACAGGACATTTAGATGGGATTACATTTATTGATAGCCGTGGTGATGGACGTTATTTCATATCCAACTGCAAGGACCAAACGATCAAACTTTGGGATGTGAGGAAAATGTCCGCTTCTATTAAAGGGTATAGTTTTTGCTCTACGGCCATTCATTACTTTCACTTCTTTTTCTTGCGAGGAATTACATTTACAATGTTGATCCCCATATTTATTATATATATTTCTAAGACTCTCTATCGCCTGTTCTTGCAGCCGTCAACCGAGATTTTTTGACTGGGATTACAGATGGATGTCATTCCCGTTGGAAGCTCGACACTGTAAGCATCCAAACGATCAGTCTCTGGCCACATACAGAGGCCATTCAGTTCTGCGGACACTTATCCGTTGCTACTTCTCCCCAGTGTACAGGTTAGAGCCCAAGATGGATTATTTTAGTCACACGCATTCAAGTTTATTTTTAACCATTTTAGCAAAGCTATATTTCACTCTTTCAGCACCATCATGTACATACTGTTAAAGAAACAATCAGTGTTGCTGCTGCTTTTTACTCCTTGATGTCCATCAAAGTTGGTAGAGCATCATACTCTAACTAATCGCTATAAAAGCTTAGGTTTATGTCATTAGAGGTTTATGTCAGTCTTGGTTTCTGGAGTGGGTAGATCTAAGTTTAAGGTAGTTGATCCCTTCTAAAGAAAAAAAAAGTTTAAGGTAGTCGATTTGCTTGTGACCATTTGAGTGAAAAACTGTAAAGACAGCTATTATAATGAATTTAAACTAGCATGGATCTTGTTCAGTTACTAGTCTTATTAATAACAATTTCCTTCATTGCAGCACGGGTCAGAGATACATATACACAGGATCCAGCGACGAGTATGTCTACATCTATGACGTGGTATGTGATTCAACAATTTCCTCTGGATACTCTATTGATTTATTTGTTTATTCTTCATATTTTGTAAACTATAGCCTGTTGAGTTGGTACATTTTTCAGATACTTGGGTCATTTGTTATGTTACACCAATAGTGTGTCAACTATCATTGGGCATAAAATCCATCTCGTTCCAAAATCTAAAACTGATGTTCTTTCAGGTAACTGGGGATATCGTCGAGAAGCTTTCGTGGCATGGATCGATCATCAGGGACTGTACCTGGCATCCTTACAACCTGACAATCGTCAGCTCTTCCTGGGACGGCTACCTGGCAAGGTGGGAGGCATCAGGGGACGAGGACGACCTTTCTGTGCTCACGGAAAACGAACAGAGGACGAGTCCTTACCGTCAGTCGTACACACGGCACCTTCTGCTGTAGGGAAGAGAAGTCATTTTGGTTTCCTGTAAGGAGTTGTGATGTTGCTACATCTGTAATCGCCTGATTGCAATGCTCATTGCAACAGTGTATAGGACTGGGTGCTGCCAAACTGCATTTTCTGTTGTAGAGAGGCCATTGGTCGCCTGCAAAGAGTTATATTTGTGCTCTCCTGATTGCAACAGTGTATATAGGGGTGAAAACAGTCGAAAACGGTAGCGTTTCTTTGGGCACAATTCTCAGTCAGTCAGGAATTGACTATACTTATCAATTTAACTATTCAGCGACAATATGATGTTGAAAAAAAATAGAAAACCTAAATTTTATAAGTTGCTAAAAATGGTAACTGTCCAAAACGGTAACACTTGTACGGTTGGCAGCATTAGCATTTGGTGCAGTACAAATTGGCTTGTAGAGCTTTGCAACTGAGGCATGTTTAGGGAAGCTTCTAGCAATGCTTTTCACAAAATCTCCAGTTCCTCCAAATAGACCAAATTGTCATCTAGATTCTGAAAATCTGTAGTTGTAGAATATATTCTTAGAAACTGGTTACCAACCAGTAAATTCTTAGAATCTTAAGCTTCTTCGAACAAGGCTTGAGAATGTGATTATAAATGATTTGTGTCCCAATGGCAGTGAAAATTGGTTCTGTTGCATCCAAAATTCACGAATATGTCTAGTAATACTGAATTGATCATCAAATACTTGGCTGTGTTTGAAGCTGAGGGTTGGAAAACCTATGAAACGACGAATTACTATTAGTTGAAAAACTTGAAAATTAAAAATATTAAAAAGATAAACGTTTAAAAGTTCGAAAAACAAGAAAGCAAAAGTTAGGAGGAAGTATAGAACACACAGACTTGACCTCCAAAAATAACCCAGGAATGCTCACCGCAATAAAGCCAATAGGTTTTATGTATTTAAGGCATATTACATAGGAAGCTAATTTCAGTGTAGAGATGGTAAAATTGAGCCATATCTTACATAAACAAGTAGAACAGTAGTTTACAATAATAAGAGATTTATAGTTTGACGTTCCAAAACTTTGCCTCAGGCAATTCAGAGGACAATTCAACGATTGAGCATTGCCCTGGCACTACAAAACTTGTAACAATTAAAAACTCGAATATAAAGAGAATAAACTATCCGTCTAAACTTCCGAAGCAATTTTGGCTTCGTCAGATCTGTTTGAAGAGTACGATTTTCCATAGCCTTGTGAGCGCTCTCCAATGCCTCCACAGCGCCTGTTCCTTGATGTTGTTCAAGACGCTCCACGTCTGGGATCGCCATGTTCCTCATTTGTACTGGAACATGCACAGGTGGCATTTCTAGCGTTGCTTCCTGCTCATGGGGGCAGATTTGATGTAAACATGGGTTATACTGTGAAGCATTCTTGGAGAATTATAGCAAACCATCCATAGAACACTTAACAGTCAGCAAAAAAAAAAATGTTGTGCCAACCAAAAGATATCAATCAGCAAAGCTCTCAGACTCTCAGCCATGACTTGAACAAAACTATGCAAAATTCCTTGACTTATCTTTAAGATGAAACAAGAACACAAACCTTATTTTTCTGCTTGGTGCAAGTATTCCACGTTTCTCGATGCTCTTATATCGGTCCCTTGCTAGATTACAGCACCCCTGCATGAAATCATATAAAAGCAATTAGTTCGTGCTGAATTCTGGACCAGAATGGAAACTAAAGGAGTCCCTCTCACCTTCAGCTTTCTAAGAGAGCCACTAATCTCTTCTGTTAATAGAACTTGAACAGGAGCTGGTTCAAATCTGTTTGAAATTTGTAATTGTTAATTAGAAAACCAAACCCATCACCAAATAACAAGGCATATAGCATCACATGTACTCCCTCCGTTTCACAATGTAAGTCATTCTAGCATTTCCCACATTCATATTGATGTTAATGAATCTAGACATATAAATCTATCTAGATTCATTAACATCAATATGAATGTGGGAAATGCTAGAATGACTTACATTGTAAAACGGAGGAAGTAGCAACAAATCCTGCTATACTAAAATATACCCTCAGAAATAAGTCACTGTCAATGCTAATTTGAACAGCATAAAGTAATAGGGCGAGAGAAAAAGGACTTGGATGAGCAGATGAATATTTCTATCTTAATTAAGATAAAGAGTTTGTGGCTGACAAGTTCCATGAAAAAGTAGGCACATGCGATGATTTGATTATTGCTTTGCTGAACTGTTTTCTAACATGTGATGTGCTTGTAAGTGGGTGCATAACAGTATAACACCAAAATACTTCTCCGGAAGAGAACTTTACTCACAGTTCATAGCGTTTGTGTCAACTACTTCCTCCGTTTCATATTATAAGACTTTCTAGCATTGCCCCGTCTAGATTCATTAGCATCTATATGAATGTAGGCAAATGCTAGAAAGTCTTCTAATATGAAACGGAGGGAGTACTCAACTGCCTCACTTCCAAAAAGAATACGACTACTACATCACGGTATTCTAAAATTATTGTTCTACTTGAGTGTCCATGAAACATCTTGCCTACTAACTTAAATGTCTCCATGATATACTATGGCATCATTATATGTGAAATATGCAAACTAAACTATTTTGTTAATTTGCAGAATCTTTAAAACAGTGTAGCAATTTTATCCAAGATTAAAGGAATTGCTGTAAGAAAATATGAGTGACTTAGAGTAGGTGATTTTAGAGGTGTACTTGTGTCTGCCCAGACGAGGCGGGGCTGACTTCAGTCTTTCCTGTTTAGCCACAGTTCGCCTTATGTGCCTTTTCTCCTTTTCCTCATCTTCTTTAGCAATTTCATTTATTATATCAGGCAGGCTGCAAAAAGAATAATATAATAATACAAGCTAACTTTGACTGAAATGGCAGATCTTGGGAGATTAGTGAACAAAAATAAAAAGAACTACCTATCTATTTCCTTTGAAAGATTTTCCATCTTCTTTGCTTCAGCTTCTGCTCTTAACCTCTCCTTACGACGAGCTCTTTTGTTCAGTTCTACTCTTGTAACTCTTTTCGTTTTAGTTTTCCTGAAAAAATAATAAATCATACAATCAAAAGTACACTCTAATAGTGTTTGCAAGACAAATTTAAAATTTACTGAGTCAGAACAGTGTGTTTTGTTCATCAAGAACAGCACATGGTAATTCCAGAATTCTTAAGTTATAAGCTGTGACTTTCATGGTTATTTTCACAAATACAGTAAACCTGAATTCTAATATAATTACTTAGCAAGTGCCACATAGCAATTGAGGAATATAAAAACTCTAAACAGGGATAACCCATATTTTGCCCCATTAGCTTATTATCATATAGAAATGGAAAAAGATATATTAAAACATAAAAGCTTTGAAAATATATATTAAGGGCATAGTGACCATGTTATCCCTAAAAGCATGTAAAAGCTTTGGAAATTTAAGCATCACGCATAAGTCTATCGTACAGCATAAGTGCATAACCTATTAAAACTATACTTCCAATAGAACAGTCGAATCTAACCTCTGAACAGCCAAAGCATCAGCAGCCTGGTCTTCATCACCTTCTTCAACAGCTTCATCTCCATCATCCGCATCAAGAAAAAATTTCTGTAGGCAACATGCAGAAAAAAGGTATAAGTAAGATTGTACGCAAAAATGCTACATAGACATCACAAGCACAATCCACTAGTAAGGTGAAGGCCTGAAGGGCCATGCTATTCTAAATGAATATACCACAGAACATACTGGCATTGTATATGGAATCCAACTCCAAAAATACTCAACTCATAATACACAACGAAGTTCACAAAAAGGCAGTTTTCATTGCAAAGTAACTAAAAAGTTGAGAGCGCGTGTAACATTTCCAAGACATGAGAATATAGAAATTTCAACCATCTATTGGCAAAGAGATGCATAAGACTTACATCTTCTTCAGTGATTGCTTCACCAGGAACAATAAGTGGCACAGGTTTGGGCCCTAACTCTTTCGTGTAGATTTTACGCATCTCATCAGCAACAGCTTGAGCAAGAGAATCCTACAATGTCAACAGGATTTTGTTGTTAAATATAAGTGCTAAGATATCCACTAATATAAGGATCATCAGTTCCTAAAACATGGGTAACATTGCCAAATCCGGAACATAAATTACAAAACATACCTGATGTGCTTCGAATGGGGGATTAAATGAACATCCTGGGGCCTCAACTTCAACAGCAGGAATCACAGATGCGGTAGACCTCTGCAACAAAAATGATAAAAAGAAAAAAAAAGAAACTAACAAATTAAAATTGATATACAAAACCCACAAATTCAGCATATTGCAACAGAAGAGATTTGTAAATTTTGAAAAATATGACTGCATAGTTCTAAAAATCGACTTTTTGTAATACAAATAGAGAAAGTGAAAACAGATTAACAGAATGCGGAGCATAGCAACACCTTTTTAGCCTTGTGATCTCCTTTAACATCTTCACCCCAGATGTCAAGGATCTTATCACCTGAATCATCTTCCTGTAAAACAGATGAGTCCACCTTAGCAACCTGGGACTTGAACAAAAGGAAATTCATTTTGTCTCAAATAAAAGCAATTGATACCATGGGAACAATTTTCGCTTCCTGTGTCTCTTTCGATTCCTTCTTCTTTGACTTCTTCTTATCCTTCTTTGTCGTTAAAGAAGACGGGACTGGTTGTACATATGGATTCCGCTTCAATACACTCTCATGATATAGAACCTTCTCTCTCTTCTTCTCAATCTTCCTTTGGACAGGAATATCTATAGCCAGTAAACAAAAGTGCCAACACACCAAGGGATACATTAGCAGGAAACACAGAGGTTACGAGGGAATAGACACAATAAACATTAACTCATTTAGAAACTTTGCGCCTACTTTGAAGCAAGTGAGATAATTCATTGCTGATATGAACCACTTTATAATTAAATATCAAAAGGAGCGGTTAAAAGTAACAGAGCATATCCTCAGGTCCCAAACTGAAGGTTAACTAATCTTCACAGTATCAAAACAATATATATAGATAAATGGTGATAGAACCAGCTTGACGCGACTATATGAAGCGATTTTTCACATTAAGCATTCCAAGAACACAAACTTTAGCGTCGATTCGAAACTACTACCACAACCCGAACCACGAGGTAGAAGACTCGGGAGTCTATCACCCAGCAACATCCACACGCTCGACCCCACGTGCCTTGTGATTTTACCTTTGGGGGCGACATCCGCCGCGGCGGCGTCGGCGGCGGAGGAGGTGGACGCGGCGGAGGCCGGCTTGTCGACGAAGAAGAGGGAGTCGGAGGGCAGGGACGGGATGGCGGCGGCCCCGGCGTGCGCGTCGCGCGTCTGCTTCTCGAAGAAGTCCTCGATGTCGTCGGTGCTGATGTTGGCGCGCCACGCCTTCTTCCCTCTCCGCGACCCCTTCGAGGCCTTCCCCATCTCCTCCGCCGCCGCTGGTGCCCCGCTCACCTCGCGCCGCCGCCGCCGCCGCCTCGCGCTCACGTGGGAGAGAGAGAGAGAGCGGGAAGGGGAAGGCGGAGGCGGAGGGTTTGGGAGGAAGGCTTTGTGGGGAGTTAGGGTTTCTGCGGTTAGGATGGGAACAGGGTCACTGACAAGTGGGCCATTGGGTTGATTCATTAGGAGAGGAGGAATTACAGGTGGTTGACATGTGGGGCCAGGCCATGGAAGAGCGAGGCCTACCTGTCAGTAGCTTCTAGTGAAAGGGCAATACACAAATAATGATCTCAGTTAATCCAAAATTTGCGTGTAGTGGAGTAGTAGATTCCAACAATATAATGGAATTCAGAGCCATATATTCTATCTATTTTCAGATTATGGGGTTGTTTGAAGGAGCTTAAGATTATGATAAACACTTGTTTGTTAGCCAACTTCCGAGAATCTGAAAAAACTAGGTTTCTCAACTTCTGGCTTCAATTTATTTTTCTAGATTCTGTAACTCCAGCTTCTCATAATCTGAACCAAAAGCTGCACCGTTTGGGGGAGCTTTTGATTCTGGGAGAAGCTGCAGCAGCTAGAAACTCCCCCAAACAAACTCTATAAGTCGTTTTGACTTTGGTCAAAGTTAAGCTACTCCAAGTTTATAAAAAGAGTAGTAATATATTTAACATAAGACAAATACATTATAAAAATATATGAGTAAATTGTACATAGGGTCACATTGTTTTACCACTATCGCACTTTGGACCAGAGATAAGCTGACATTTTCAACTTGGACCAAGAAAAATTACCAAATGGTTCACCATGGGCATGTTCTTCTACCTTCAGCTTTCCCTACCATGAGCAGGTTTGCCGAGTAGGTTGAGCAACCACCAGTCCACCGCCGCTGCAGCACTCACGCCGGAGCTCCCCAGCATTGCAAGCTTGAGTGGCATCTCGATATCTCCCCCACCTAGATTTTCACTTGCGGTCAGAAAGAAAGCAGAAAAGAAATTCTCCATTGGCCTTGGCCATTGCAGGGACAGAGGTGAAGCTCGTTTGCATCGACGCTGGCGGAGCTCGAGGTGTAGCATGGTGCCGACCGGTGGAGCTCGAGCTCAAGACAAGGACCAAAGCCATGGGGCACACAGGTGGTGCTAGCTTGGCTGACGGATGTTATTGCGCCAGCGCCGATACCAATAGGACTTGAGGTCGAACGCCGCGTCGGTGCTACGGAGGCTCGATGTCAAGAATGGAGGTTGTGAGGGATGATGCTGAGTGCAGCGGTGGTGCCGGATAGGGTCTTTCACCGGTGATGTTCCTGCAACATGGAGAAGTGGGGAGGGAGAGGAAGCTTGAGGAAACGGAGGTCCAAACTGAAATCGATTGTAAAATTAGGTGGTTCATAGTGGAAAGGTTAGATTGCCTCTAGTCCAAGTAAAAAATATAGACCCAATATGCAAGTTACTCAAAATATATTTTATAGATTTAATGAAATTAATTTGGTGTCGTAAATATTATATTACTGAATTTGTCTACAAAGTTAATTAAATTTAGAGCAATTTGATTTTGACTAAAATCTAAACAACTATAGTCTGAAACGGGGCAGTAAAATTTTAATTTCTTCTCCCTCTCACTATCTATCCCTCTAAATTATTACTCTGTATTTATATTTATTTAAGATGTGCGGTAATTTTCGAGTAGGCAAAATATCGAAGATACTTTTTGTGCCTACTTATTTGAATGTAATAAATGCTTCAAGCCGTCTCACTCTATCTTAAGAAATACTCCCTTCGTACTCGTAAAGAAAGTCGTTTAGGACAATGTTTAAGTCAAACCTTGAAAATATAAAATCATGAATAACTCTCAAGCTGTTGAGTTTGGAAATGTAAAAATTATATGAATAGATTTGTCTTGAAAAATACTTTCATAAAAATATACATATATCACTTTTCAATAAATATTTTTATAGAAACAAGAAGTCAAATTTGAGTTTTGGAGACCGTGTGGCTGTCCAAAACGACTTACTTTACGAGTACGGAGAGAGGGAGTATTAGCCAACATGACAAAAACAACAACAATTTTTTTAGTGCCCAAATTTAGCCACCCTGACCATTCTATTTTTGTTTCCCTACCCATACTCTCTCTTTCCCTTCCTCTCATGTACAAGTCCCGCTAATATGCAAGTTGACATGCAAATCCAATTAACGTAAAAGAGTCTGTTGGAGTGGACCAAAAAAAAAACAATATTTTGGTGAGAACGGCGGAACGAAGATTTGGAGAGCCAAATTTAGCACCTCAATTGAAGATGCTAATTTTTTTCCAACTATATAAATACAGACTATCATTTATATCTTATTTGTAAGTGTATCTCTTGAACATAATCATCAAGAAACTAATGCCAATAATTCTATTGACATTTCTAAATTCCATGCATTAGACATAGGCAGTTAGGCACCAGGACGTGTAGAGTGCCAACGATTTTCAAACCAGAAAGATGTCACATTCATATAGGATAAACAAATAAACTTGCTTTGATATCCTCAGTCCAGAATGTAGAGGGAGCACCTTATAGTCCAAATTTATTTAACTTTCCTGGTTTCATCGTATGTATAAATTGCTCGCGCAAAAATGATGAATATTTAATGCGATCATCCGGCCGCACAGAGCGCACAACCATGGATATGATCCATTGCAGAAACCTAGCTAGATTAACACCGATCGCTCGATAGATTACCAATAAACACCACTCCCAAAACACGACCAACAGTATAATTCTTCACACCAGAAAGCCACTCTGCCACTGGATATATCACGGCGAGACGAACAGTACATCTACTTTATACCAGAAAGCCAACTACGATGTTTTAGTTCTGATGGACACAATTTAATACCAAGAAATCCATACAATACCACTAATCCTAAAATTTGTAAGCTTAAATGTACCCTAAATACCCCCTGTTAATTTCTATCCAGGAGCACTCCTTTCTCAAAGGAGAGGATTCAAACAAATGCATCAGGGCAACAACATTCCTGAATCCCAAGATTAGAATGCCGAGCGCCCTTTTGAATCTGAGGAATTGGAGAAGTGGCTTGACCTTTTCCTTCTAAGGGTCTTCCATGTAAAACTGCCCCCCTGCAAAACACTTGTGGTGGATTCATCTTCGGCATCGTCTTCATTCTCATCCTTGCTATATGAAGAAACCCCAGCCCTTACTTTTTCTGGTGTCCACATTGGAATGCTGGCATCATCTGCAATGTTCACTAGAGATTTATGCCTTTTCCTCCTCTCACTGAAATCGACTTCTTGTACATCAGACGAATAAGCGCTCCGCTTTGCTCTTGGAGCCATCCTTGGAGTCTCTTCAACTACATCATCTGCTTTCATCCACTGATCACCAAAAGAGTCTGAGTAGACAACCTCTTTCCTGCGTCTCTTCGTAGTTAGCAGAACATTCTGGGGTTCATCTGCAGGTATCTTCTCTGTTAAAGTATCATTGGCAAACACCCAGTCTGGAACCTCAATTCCCTCCATGAGCCTCGGTTTGTAGTTTTCTCTTTGCCGCCTTTCTTCATCCATCTTCTCAAACAACCAGAATTCTTCATCATTACGAGCAGCCAAACGATTTATTTCACGCTCACTAGGGATATCAGTTCCCAGTGAGCTTGTTCCTCTCCTCAGGATCTCCTGCAGCAATGCTCGCCTATCCTGAGCTGCAGAAGGAATTGAAAGTGTTAATTCGCAATACACGCACAGAAAATGAAAGTGATATGAAGGCTCTATGAATTCGCATTTTTTTTACAGTGCTTGCAAGTTACTAGGGGTACCTCCACTTCAAATAAATATCCACCGTGATCATTTTAGTACCTCTAGCACCTTCCAAGATCATTTCAGCAGTTAATATTTCTTTAAGTAAAGTACCTCCAGTACCTTTCCAAGCACCATAAAAAATCTACTCCCTCCGTTTCAGGTTATAAGACTTTCTAGCATTGCCCACATTCACATATATGTTAATGAATCTAATGAATCTAGATTCATTAACATATATGTGAATGTGGGCAATGCTAGAAAGTCTTATAATATGAAATAGAGGAAGTATGAATTTTGTTCGAGGATTTAATCTAACCTGTGGAGGTTGTGTTGAACAGCCCAGCCTGCACATTCACATATATGTTAATGAATCTAATGAATCTAGATTCATTAACATATATGTGAATGTGGGCAATGCTAGAAAGTCTTATAATATGAAACAGAGGAAGTATGAATTTTGTTCGAGGATTTAATCTAACCTGTGGAGGTTGTGTTGAACAGCCCAGCCTGGATAACTTTTGCATCAATACCCATCTTCTGTTTTGCACGGTCCAAGATCTCTTCTTCAATTGAGCCAACACTAACAAGAACGAATACACGCACTTCATTCTTTTGTCCAATACGGTGGGCACGGTCTTCAGCCTGCTGATCCATTTGAGGATTCCAGTCACTGTCAAAAATAATAACAGTGTCTGCAGTCTGCAAGTTCAACCCAAGGCCTCCAGCTCGGGTGCTGAGAAGAAACAAGAAATATTCTGAGTCCTTCTTGTTAAAATCTGCCAATAATCTCCCTCGCTCTTCAGTCTTCGTAGATCCATCAAGCCTCATGTACTTGAACTGGTACATTTGCAAATATACTTCTAAGATATCAAGCAGTTTTGTCATCTGAGAGAAAAGCAGAACCCTGTGACCAGCTCTCTGCAATTTTGGAAGTAGCCGGTCAAGCAATTCAAACTTCCCTGATGATCTAACAATTTCCTGCCGTTGATACATGTTATAATGCTCAACGAATAGATAGGGATGATTGCAACATTTTCTAAGTTGCATCGACAGATTTTGCAAAGCCTTTGATTTGAGTCCTGCATATACAAACATGACAATAAGTTTGTTGTTTTCTTAAGCAAGACAGAAAGGTCATAAAAAGAATGAAAGTGAAAAACTAAAAGCAAGGATGAGACTATGAATTAGATATAGCAACAACAGGGGAAAAAACAGATCCATATTTGCAGTGGAGCCAAGTCATTAATTCTGAGCATTATTCCAATCTCTTCGAACCAGTCAAACATTACAAACAATTAACAATATGAAAAGGATTAGTATCCATACCAGATCCTAGACTAACCCTTCCATTGCTAGTGACTTGTTCATAGTATGCTTTTTGCCAAGCAGACATGTCACACTTGAGTATTACTTGTGTTTTCACAGGAAGATATTTTTCCACTTCATCTTTCTTCCTCCTCAGCAAAAATGGACGCAGCACCTGTGCAGAGAACAAAGAGTAACGGAATTATTTAAATAAATATTCACATATATTAATAATTAGCCTAACTCATGTTTTAGCCACACACTTTGCATGCTGCAGGAATTCAACCGAAAAGGTGATATGCAAGAGAAAGTTAAAGCTAACTATTGCAAATTTTAAGTTAAAACTTAAAAATACTGAATGACATGAGTAGGTGGATTGGGGGCAACCATCACTCACTTGATGCAAACGATGTATAATTAGCAGCTGTTCCTCATCATTAAGGCTGACTTCACATGCAAATGGTGCATTAAACCATTCCTCAAAATTCTGTGATGAATTAAAAATATTGGGAAGAATAAAGTTCAGCAAAGACCACAGCTCTTGTAGGCTATTTTGGATTGGAGTGCCAGTCAAAAGTAATCGGCGACGGATTTGATATCTACAAATGAAGTATAGTAAATGTAAGTCAGTGTAAAATGTCAATTCAAAAAAATCAATGTAAAATTATCCTAAAAAATCAAAACTATTCATTTCACTAAGCTTGAAGGAATATGTTAATAATGTCCAATCACTAAAAAGAAGGATGAAGAATAAATGTAAAAGAATTTGCTAACATGAGAGTAGGCAAGTAGCCATGAAGCAAACAAATACTGAGGTGCGAAAGAAAATAGGTGTGCTAAATATCAAATTATATTCACAAAACAAACTAATAATGTATTACATTCACAGAACAAATTTCATTCTTATAATTTTAGTGAATGTTACCAATCCACAATGAATTTGATGTTGTGTTTGGGGCCCACTGTCACCTTCTTTGATGAGAAATAGAAAAGTTCCAAGTGATAATCAGCCAAATATAACTAGTCTCCTGAATGCAAACTGGTGAAGTCACAAGGTTTTTAAAACCACTTTTGGGGAGGAGGTTTGTAAGACCTGGTACTACAAATAATGCTTAATTTTTTTGGGTCGCTAATACTGAAGTCATTTATGGGCCAGTGGGTCAAAAATCATAGGACATAAATTGTGAGTGGTATGTGATCACATGCTGAGTTTTACTAGAGTATATTATGAGCAAAATCTATACCTAGAAACTAGTGTGCGAGCAAGCGCACATTCATGGTTTTTCAAACGATGTCCTTCATCAACTATCAGATAATGCCAGTGAACCTTCTTCAGGAACTTCAGATCTTTCAGTATCAAGTCATAGTGCGTGAGCAAAACATTAAACTGCCGTTGTCCAAAATTCTTTTCCCTTAGAGCCTTCCTATCATCTGGACGACCATCATACAGAATTGTCCCAATGCTGCAAAACACAAAAGTATGATCAGTTTGGGTACTTTGATACAATGTAGAATGGAAATATACACAGATGTTATGATCATCCTCCCAATGAAAAGTACCTAGGAGCCCAAGTTTTGAATTCATTAGACCAATTTGGTAACACGGCCTTTGGTGCTATTATTAAGTGTGGTCCTGTAACCTCCTTCTTCTCCAATAGATAGGCGATCAAAGCTATGGTCTGAATTGTTTTCCCCAAACCCATTTCATCAGCCAGAATACCATTCAAATTATTGTTGAATAAAGAAAGCATCCATTGCAGGCCCTCTAATTGATATGGTCTTAACTCCCCACCTTCAAGAGCTGATGGTTGTTCCGTTACCTATAAATTCAAAGAAAGGGAATAAAAAATGTTTGTTTTTAGTTGCATGAGTCCAAAAGTGCAGAGCGCTACAATTGTACTGTAATGATGCAGGAAAAGGATAAAATAATGTAAAACCAGAACAGCAAAATCGTCAACAAGAGATGGATAACCGATCGTTAACACTGGAAGTACCCCATTTGTAGACCCATGGGCAGTGAAGTATCATACATTTGCAGGTATTGAAATCAAACAGAAACAACTATCATTATATCAGCAAGTTAACGAAGAAAAAGAAAAAAAATACTGAAATATGATAAGTCTTTAATATCAGATTGCCCATGTCACATGAGAATGCAAACAGTGACAATGGCCAGTTGTTCAAAAGTTAATTTCGCAAACTATGTATATGTTGCCAAACTACAGATCTAATGTTAATTTTACACAAGTGCACATCATTTGCCCAAAAGTTTCAAGCAACCTTACAGAATCATATTGCAATCGAACTGACAAGGTAGGCACATGCCAGTGGCATGCAATTTTCAAGAAATGCCATAATGTCACATTGCAGATGAGAGATGAACAAACACAGTAAGTTTTACATGTCTACCAGACTACCACTGATGCCTAGTCAGCTAATGTAACAGTGGGGTTTCTTGGTAATTGCGTAAAAAGATCTGTACTTTTGTGAAATAAAATTTTGAATTTGTAATTTTCTCAGTTTCCCACACTTCGGCAATGTATATGTAGTTTTCCCAAATTTAATCCTTATCCAAATCGTCATTTATTTATTAACACCAGGGATCCGAGGGAAGCATAAACTTTAGTGCACATCAAAAGCACGCACTCAAAGGTCAAAATTATGTCCCGCCTACTTCTGGAATTTTATCGTATGCTCACATCAATACATTGGTCCTCTTCTACTAAGCTGCCACATTAGTTTTTTTTTACTTATACAAATAAGATTGTCCTAAGAACCCAGATGACCCCATCACTTTCTCAGGCTGCACATGCATAAAATTCATATGGTGAAAGATGAACTTCATATACCTTCTCTTCAATAGAGTGGACGGTAGAATCAAGCCTATGGCCAGCATTAAATTTACTATGATCAGCAGAACTATGATGGTCTGCATCAACATCTGATGGGGACTCTTCATCAGGGGATTCAACCTTGAGGCCTGATATTTGAGAACAATCATCAGATTCTGACCCTTTTGGCAGTTCAGATCCATCAGGGCGACTAACATGCTCAGCATCTTTTTGTCTCTGCACAGCTTTCCCTATTCCTTCAAGAAGCTCATTTGTTTTTCCAAGGAGCAGTTTCAGGCGCTCGTTCTTGCTCTCCTCAACCATACGCAAATAAGCTTCTTGGTCACCAGCCTTCAAAACTTGTAATCTACTCTTTTCCATGCGATTTATACGTTGACGTGCACGAACATGCCATGCCTACATTTAGAGGAAAAAAAAAGGTCACAAACATTTGAACAATCCACAAAAGGAATATATCTAGGAACAAGTACATATGCTCTAACAAAGGAAATGCAGTACAATGATAACTCGATAATGTATTGATGAAGTAGCAAACAAGAATCAAGAATTTAAACATCTTTTATAGAGACTTGATCCATACTATCACACAAAAACTCAATCTTTAATTCATTATTTTTGCAGGGTACACAATTAAGTCATCATCCATAAGGTATTGTTCACTTGTTTTCTCACCAAAATGTGTGTGCCATCAAAATTCTCATCTTCCATAATCACCAACAGCATAAAATATTATTCCAAGGCATATCATAAGTTATAGGCGCGAGACCATTACAGATAGGGGCATAGGGCATAAAATATTATTCCAAGGCATAGTAAAACAAAAATAGTTTCTTTTCTCTTATACCTATAGGCACTATTGGCAAACAACACTGTCATAAGGTACTGGTACCAGTGCAACCTAGTCTTTGTAACCAAAAAAAAGGGAATAATTGGTCCAAAATATGGTGAGTTAGTTTCTCCATAGGGAAGGAACCAATTAGGCCAATCTCAAGCTATCTGTTAATCTCTAATGAAAATTATATTGACCGTACCAGAACTCCATCATTGCGCTGTTTTTTTCGTTTGTAAGAAGCCGGTACTTGTAGCTGATACTCCCTAGCAGCATTAAGAATTTCTGAAAAAAATTTCCTCTTCCTGATCTCTGCCTGGTTCTTTTCCTCCTCTTCAAGTCTTGAGATCCTCTGTTGTTCCCAAATACCAAAAAGGGAGTCCTTATTAATTCAAGTGTATATAAATTAACCAAACATATAATAATCAAAAGATACATGATACAAAACCTCTGAGAATCTCTTTTTGCGGTTGATATCATCAGCATCCATTGAAAAACTATCTCCAATTCCATACATGGTAAAAGGATACCGTATACGCATCATCCCCCAGTCAAACAATTGCCTATCAGGGTGTGCACATTTTTTGTGTAGCCAGTATTCTGCACTGATATCAGTCCTTACTTTCTTCTGCAAGTCTAATAACTGCACAAGTATATGAATAATCAGCGAGCTTGATAGGATAACTCACTTCTAATATCGTACTTCTTGATATAGACCTATGGAATTCATACACTTGTTGAGCTTTGCACTAGATAGTTTCAATTTTCAAATAGCCAAACTGTCCAACAAAATAGAATTAACACCTCACTAAAGGATAGTGCACAGATCATATGATGATACTACTATTGTACTAGTACTCCCTGCCTAAAGACGTCCTCCATACCAACTACTCAACTGATTAATTGTTTCAATGCCTTGATCAAAACGGAGTTGGATCTAGCTAGGTGCATAGCAGTTTTTGTGGAAAAGCACAATACTTAATTACTTATGCAAATCATTGTACAGTTGAGAAATTACAGAGATCCTTTGTGGTTTTTTTATAGAAGTACTGAGGCATATTAAATAAAAAAAATCAGTAAGGCGTGAGTTATTTACATGTACATTCAAGACCCAAATTTAGGAACAAATTCTATCCGTTCAGAAATATGATATTTTAGAAAGCATGCAGTCAAACATCTTTACTAGTTACTACTGAGGGAGTGGGGAGGAGGAATGTGGTTTAGAACACACCATCACAATCACCAATTCGAACATTTTTAGTAGTGAAGCTTATTTATCTATTGAGTAGAGGGCCTATTAGATAATTTGCAAAATCACCATTGCGGTTGATGTAGCTTCACACCTCCATCCCTGAATTCCTCAACCGGCCACATATATATTTGAACTCCTGATTCGCAAGCGCGTTCAGTGTGAATGGTTCTCACGCTTTCCATTTTAGCGTTCTCCCAGTGAGTGATATCCGTTTTCTGTTCCGCATAAAACAATCTGTTTACGCGAACGTATGTGTGGTCATTCCACTGACAGAGCGCTGGGCTTTAGAGGTAGAGGGCTACATGAGCTTTCTTCTTTTTAGGTTTTATCAATTTTGGTTCAAAAAGAAATCTTTGAGTAGATAAAATTTTCAAGAAAAGGAAGTTTTTCCAATGGATCATTGGATTTTTTTCTCTCTATTGACAGTTTTACCATATTAAAGTTTGTATCCATAATAACTATGGGAAGTTTTCTCTCAGAATAAAAATCTGTAGAGTGATTTTTCTAATGGAAAGATTTAAACCCATATAGGAAGTTATCAAAACTTCCTAGATGGCTCGTACCTAATGCTACGCATGTTACGCGTGATAACGTGAGCGCAAATTGCGTGCCACACACTCCCTCGCCCATTAGGCGCCCCCGACGTTTACATAGTAATCATCGCCACATCAATAGTTTCCTTGGTTTCTGTTCTAGGAGCTAAAACAACTGCCTAGGATAGTACAGTTATGGTTTTCTTCACACATGCATCAAGATTTGGTAGGCAAACTGCTAGTTAAAGACAATAAGTTTTTTGGTACAGTCAAAAGAAAAGACGAACAGTTTTTCCCTGGACAAGACTACTGCAGTACATTATTGGGTAGTAACGTCTGAAATCTGCCCGTCCATAAAATGTACTAGAAGTCTAAAATGCAATAGATTATGCATGTTTGCACAAATGTCGCTTTCCAAACAAAGTTAATTTGTATACTTCACACCACTAGGGACATCACTGTACACAAAAGGCACCATCTAAGAAAAGCAGTAACAGCAGAAAACATCAACGCCTCCAAAGTAACATTTGCTTCTAATATCACATTTACCTTAAGCCCGTACAATTCAAGCAAACACTTCATTTGCAAATCTTCACCCCTAGTAGATGGTAATCCTGGCACATAAACAGAAATGAGTTTGGTGGTGGTACATAACTAATACAGTAGTCAACAACAAAGCAGGTTTTAGAGAGGCTGAATATTAAAAATATCTTATGCATGATAATATTAGTAGGCAGCATCCTATTGGTGGAATATATGCTAAGAATAGTTTCAGAAAAAACTAAACTGTTGACAATAAAACACGTATAGACTTTAAAAAGTCAAACACAACAACATCAGCTTTTGCACCGTTTCAGAAGGCCAGTTATAATTCAACTTTTTCACAGTGCAAGCTTACAGGCCCAAAAGCAAAAGGTTTGCAGTTTACACCAAGGCCAGGCCTGGGAACTTCGTAAGACCAAAACGTAGTAGGCCGGGAAAACACATCCCAACCCATCCAGTTTTGTAAGAACAGGAAAATCAAAGCAGGATAATCACAAACACCAAAGAGGAGTCTTGCCGTTAAAGTAATTTAACTTAGAATAAATCAGAAAGTAAAAATAGGTGATGTATGAGCAGACCTTCAAGTTCAGTCAGCCTATGCTGAATGGAAGTGTTGAAGCGGTCTTCTTTTAAAGCAGTCAACTCTGAGTATGACATATACGGTCCTTGATTCTTCAATACAGCATCTTCAAGCTCTTGAATCAAGGTGACTCCCTATAAGGCAATCGATTTATTCTCAGTTAAAACGCAAATGAGAAGGCCATTCAAAAGCCTACTCATAAGCACTATGCCTCAGCCATAACCCAAAAAGGAGAACAAGAGGTAATGACACACCCAATCATCGCAGTGACAATATGGTGCTTTGAAACTACAACCCTAACAACAAAATCAACAGCACGCAACTCAACAAGGCCCAAATAGTATGAATCTAACTTTTGGACCAGAATTTTGTTTCAATCACATAAAAACAATATGAGGTAATGTACGTAAGTAAATACATCTACTGAGGGCAAATCCTTGTATAGACCCAGTATTAACCAAGTTCTCTGGAACTTATATCCCGTTTAGGCTATGTTCGGTTAATCCCCAAGAGGGAGGGATTGGAGGGGATTTATTCCACACCTATTGTGGTGTGCAATTATTCCCCCTCAAACCCCTCCAATCCCCTTCAACCCCCTCCAAACCGAACAAGGCCTTAAAGACAATAAGGCTTTTACTAATATAATCCTAGACGCTAGTACACACTTCACAAACATGGTGGCATACCAACTGTAAAAAAAAATGATTAATGACATCTAAAATATTACACACCACAAACATATATGCATTTGTAAAAAATAAAAAAAAATGATGTTTCCACATCATCAGAAATCCCTAAAACACTAAACATCTCTTTTTTTTTTTTGGTGGAACAAGCATCCGATCCACAAAGCAGTTCTAGCTCCAGATTAATCAGGTAAGTATGCCTTGCAATGCCTCCACCCGATGAAACCCAAAACCATACTAGGTATAGACATTCATCAAAAAATGTCACCGGAGGAGCGTTCTACAAGTGCAGCCCACATTCCCCAACTGTAAACCACTCTAGAATCCAGCAGCACGGGAAACCCTAACTACATCTCGCCAATTCTACTGAACATGCTAGCTAATCCAACAGCTAGCACTAATCGAGCAACTCGAAGCACACCCAACCGAAAGGGGAACGCACAGCAAAATTGATGAAGCACAGGGGCGCGCACGCACCTCATCCGCACCGGGAGAAGCATCCGCGCGGTCCTCCTCCCCCTCCCCGCTCTCGCCGCATCCATCCCCGACAGCCGCCGCCGCCGCCGCCACCTCCTCTTCACCCCCCTCCTCCCCTTCCCCCTCCCACGCGTCGCCGCCGTGGTAGATGGACGAGACGGCGTGCAGGACGGCGGGCGGCAGCGGGAGGTTGCGGGAGAGCAGGTTGAGCGCGCCGATGAGCGTCCTGGCCTGCTCCGACGCCCCGCCGCCGCCGCCGCCGACGACGACCTCGTCACCGCCCACGGAGGCGGGCGGGGCCACCACCGCCGCCGCCGCCGCCTCCACCGAGGCAGCCATCGCCTCCCTAGGGTTTCGCTCCGCCTCCACGGCCGCGAGGCGAGGCGAGGCGGCGAGGGTTCAAATCGGGGCGCGGCAAACGGTCGATGGTTTCCTTCCTCCGCTCGCTTTTGAGGGGGGAAGACTCGTTTTCCCGCTGCTTCGTCGGCTTCGATCGATCGACCGGGGCGAGGGAAGGTGAGGCAGGCGCCGCGCCTGTGTGGCTTGGCTTGGGCTTTCGGTGGGGAAATTTTAGGGTTTTTTTATTTTTGTTTTTTTTACGGCGTTCGGGTTGGGGATATTTGTAGTGGGTCGGGTCGGTGGACCTGTCGGATCCGATTTGTCTTAACCCAAGGCCCAGCCCATAACGATATGTTTACAGTACTCCCTCGGACTTCAAAATAACCAAACAATTTTGCTATATCTCACTCGAAAGATTTTTTCTTATCTCACACTCGATTTTCTCACTCAAATTTACAGTGCATTTTCTTGTAAGTTACAGTGTAATTTATGAAACTTACACTGTAACTTTTGTAAGTTACAATGTAATTTTTGAATCTTTGCATGTAAATTTTAAATTTTGTATTGGATTTGGTCTTTTTCTTGAGGATATGGTAATTTAGTGTCCATTATGGTGTTTCTTAATTGCTTTTTGCTTTTTATTATATCTATCGAATTTTAATGCAAAGATTAAAAATATGTGTGATACGATCATAAAAATCTTTCGAAATATGTATAGGTACTCCCCCAAATAAATCTGGATAGGCTATCGATAGTATCTCTGTTCAATATTTTATTATTACAATTTTTGTTATATATTTATCAACAATTTTTTTCCTAAAAATTTGACGGATGTAATTACAGTATAATTATAATATAATTATATCGAGACTTGCATGCAATTACACTGTAACTTGCATGTAATTTGTACGTAACTTTCACATGTTGAATTGTTAGATTTGTTTCAAGATTTGTGCAAGTGAGGAAGGAAAAAAATCACAGTGTGCATACATGTGAGAGGATTCATTCCCACGATCTCCGTTTCACTGAAATATCATGTTACGTAGAGATTTTAAAAAGCTACATACAAGTTACATTATAGTTACACGTAAGCTATAATATAATTACATCACAATTATACTATAGTTATATTTGTTAAATTTTTGAAAAAAAAAATTGTTGATAAATGTATAAGTGATCCCTTTTATTATTATCTAGATTTATTGTACTATAATATATCAAGACTCGTCTTTGTTTATTTTAGAATGGAAGAAGTAATAATTTTGCAAGTATTTTTGTCCTAACCATATAGATATAGGCATTCAGTGAAGTATCTCTATTAGCAAATAAACAATATATTTTTCCTCCTGTTCAAGGAAAATAATAATAATAATTTAGGTCCTGCTCAAATGCTCAAAAGAGCTCATAGGTCATTCCCAGCGAGAAATGATGATTGATTCTAAGTTCATAATAATTATTCAAGGGAAAACGCGAATGAACTGAACGTTACAAAGTTAAAAGGTTTTCCAAAATATGCCGAAGAAGAAAAGTTATTGGAGATCATGCCATTTAGCTTAGAAAGTGTGCCATGGATACTCCATAATCTATAAGTTATAAATAACGAGAATGATGTCTTATATGTAAATTTATATATAAATAGATGAGAACACTAAATCAAATAGTTTGTACGTTTGTATAATGGTTTACCCTCAAAATTGGGCCAAAAGGGACATGGGTATCTCTTTTTTGTGTGAAATGATTAGAAACTGTTAACGACCAAATTTGGTAATATCTGCATCGGAAAGAAGGTCCGATGAAGGTTGGATTGAAGCGGAATCGAAGATGAGGATTATAGCGGAAACAGAGTAAGAATCGGCTGAGGTTCGGATCGGCTACGATTAGAATCGGCTAAGTCCGAGTTGGACTGGGTTAAGTGATACAGTCTATTCTGACAATACGACTTGTATCCGATATCGGGTTTGAGTTGATGTACTTCAAGATGATTGCCGCACATGGATAGAGTCCTGAGAAGGCAATTGTATCTATTAATTAGGATATTTTATGTAATTTCCTTAGAGATATGCTTGGGCAAAAGTTTGCCGCAAAAGACTTATGGTATATTAGAGTTTGTTAGAGATAATAGTCGTGTCCGGTATGGACATATCTTGTAATTCTCGGGTATAAATAGACCCCGAGCCCTATGTAATTTTTAACACACGTTCAATACAATTTCGGCGCATCGCCACCCTTTTTGCTTTAGTTTTATTTCGACGAGTTCTTGCTTTCGGGTTGAGCTGCATCGGTTTCGATCTTCAACAAGAGATAAAACTTGTTATGACGGCTTGCGTTCTCGGGATTAGTGCTTCTATCTTTATGACACTCTAATCTTGTTTATGTAATTCGTTGAATTATCATATATCTTATATAATCTCTAGCAATGTCGCCATCTAACCTACAATCGGCTAACATCTGTTAACATAGGGCAGCCGATTAGGTTAAATATCGATGTTGGTTTAGATTGTATAAGATATCTACCACTCTATGAAACTTCCAGCGGTTTGATTGTCTAGATATTGTTCTTCTTTTCATACTTAATGCTGCATCAGTTGAGTTTGACCTATTAAGTCGTGCTTAGAATATCAATCTCTAGCATGCCTTCTGGTTGCTGATTAGGGTAGTATCGGAGTTTCAGCCGATCTTATCTGATTTAACTATATTTACTTTATATGCTTCATTGACACATTAGATCTGCCCCTTATGTCAAGATATTATTGCATTTAAGTATATTAAGCTTCGGTCTGTTATATTCTACTTGTTTTAACCTCTTAACATAGAGTTGTATCGGAGTACTAGCTGATACATGCTAGATCTATCTGATCGGCTATGCTGTAAACACATATAGTTCTGTTATTAGCATATATTTCAATCTAAGTGATTTATACTGTCTCGGCATGATGACCGATCTATCCCAATCACTTGGTTTAAATATATGTCGATATAAGAATTATATTCTATTGACATCTACAGCCGATCGAATAGATTTAGTTCTTCATTATCTATTTATAACCGCCGATCGACTCACATATGACATTGGCTCAAAGATAAATGATACGTCATCGGCACATAGCCGATCGGCTATCATTTATGTATTTAACCACGATTGTATTGTCTTTGTTTCTTGTTGATTGCAAAATCAAATCAACTGGCACGCTAGCATACCCGAAGGCGAGTTTTGGACCTGCACTGGAGTTAAGCAGATCTCTTAGGCCTCGTGTTTTACGTCAACAGAAACATACCCTAGTTTACATGCTTAGCTTATCGTGTTTCTGATGTCAATGAAAGGGATGGTTCTTGGGTATTCTTTTATAGTCATACTAATTAAAAAAACTCTTATAGTAACCTAATTAACAATCAATCGATATCACCCTGATGACACAATATGTACTACCTAGTGCCCCTGTCCAAATAGCTGAGATGATTTTCTTCATGTCTTCAAAGCACAATCCTTTACACCTCCTATCTCAACAACCCACTTTCTACATGCCCTTTGTGCCTCCGTGTTGGTTTTAATCACTATCTCTAGTGCCTTTGTGATTATATATGATTACTCACTTTATTTCTAAAACCTAATAGCTTTAGTGTTTGTTATGTTGTGCATGTATAAAATGTCCAATTTCCACACTACGACATGGCTTAGATATCACTCCCTATGTTTTATATTATAAGGATTGTTTCGATTTCTTTTAGTCATTTTTTATATTTTACCAAGTTTACTAAAAAGTATAGCAACATTTCTATATAACACAAAACAATATATACTAAAATACATTCAATGTTATATTTATTGAAATCAAAATGGTGTTGTATGTGTTGCTAAAATTTTTCTTTAAACTTGGTCAATTATAAAGACGTTTGACTAGAAAAAAGTTAAAACATTATGAAACAGAGTGAGTACTAGTTTCTTAATAATTAAGTGCCCACTTGGCATAGCTTCCGCTTTAAGATGGAGCTTATTTCGTTTCACTGATTTTTAAAAATAAGTTTATAAAATATATATTTAATCGTCTTCGTCGTGATCATGAAAAAAAATTTGAACAATGGAGGCGGGAGAGAAAGCCACTAAAACCAAGCTTAAAATAGAAAATTAAATTATAATCCAATCATGACAGTTAATGCCGTGGTCCAAGTGTTCAACGGTAAAAATGTGTATTAAGTCATGGTGCCACAACACTTGCTTAGAGCAATTAATAGCGTAGTTTTACATGTTTTTGAATCGTGGCACCAAAGCACTCGCTTAGGTCAATTAATAGCCTAGTTTTGCATGTTCCATGCATACTGTACTGTTTTCTAATATCTTGTTGAGTCGTTTTATGGATCACTCACTTTCTCTATATAACTCAAATCAATTTTATCGGTTGACTACTAATAGACCATACACATACTTTTAAACTGATTCGTCAACCATATGACCACCCGCAAAAACCGATGACCATCAAACAACGACATTTCTCCTAATACCTCAAAGTCATCTTTGAAAACCCGCTTAATTTTGTCATCTCTAACCAAAAAAAAAAGTTGACAAATGTCACGGTTGAAAGAAAAGAAAAAGAAGGTATTAGGACACGCACACAGCACACGGCACTGGAGGAAGCATCCTAGAATTTTTTTTTTCTAGAACGCCATGGCGTTCCCACACACCTCCTCCTGTTGCTGTCCCCGGAGAAGAAACCCCTCCTGGTGTAATCTGAGCCGTGTACGGTGTCCTACCAATAGTACTAGTAGTAATTCACACCAGTTAGAGCCCCCGGCCAACCAGGACTCGTCTGCTCCGCTCATCTGCGCTGCTGGCTGCTGCGACGGCGCCCCCACCACCCTCCGGCCGGCGGCGGCGGCCGCGCCTCCCATTTACTCCCGCCTCGTCCTCCTCGTCTCTCTCTCTCTCCTCCGATGGTGGTGGTGGTGGTGGTGTCCTTCCCCCACCTCTGAGCTGTTGCTGCCAGCTGCCACCATTGACTCCGGCAAAGCGTACACCCCATTTAACCCACCGTCGCTGACGCCTGGGCCCCACCGTATTGAATCCACCTCTAACACCTGGGCCCCACCAAATTCCCCACCCCCCTCTACTCTCCTCTCCTCTCCGCGAGCTCGAATTTCCAGTGCCGTGTGCTGTGTGCGTGTGTGTGTCTCTCTCTCTTTGGTTACTACCGCCTCGGATCCCAAGCTGCTGCGGCGGCGGTGGCGGCGGCGGGGAGCTAGGGT